CAAAATAAAACTTGTATTTGTTGGTAAGTTCAAAAGTGGAATAATCAACATATTTAAATGGAATGTTTCATTACTTCTTGTGCTTTTTTTCTTCCGCTGTCTGTGAAACCTTCTATCTAGTTGCTCTACTATTTATTGAGCTTCTGCTTAGTACCTGGCCTGTGCTAGAGACTTTGTGCATATTATAGCTAATCCTTACAACAACTGTATTTAAACCTCAAATTTTGTAGATGAGAAAAATGGAAACTCAGAAATTGCCCAACTAGATCAAATTCACATGGCTAATTAAGCATCTTAATTGGGATTTAGACACAGGGATTTCTAATCTGAAGTCTATGGTAGAGATCCACTTTCCTTTTGAAACAAGAAAACGAGGGCCAAGCATGCTGGCCTGGCCCATGCTTGTAATCCCAGCAGTTTGGGAGGCTGAGGTGTGGGGTTGTTTGAGCCCAGGAGTTTGAGACCAGCCTGGGCAACATAGTGAGACCCTGTCTCAGCAAAAAATTTTAAAAATAGTGATTATTCTAGAAATAAACAAATCTATAGTCTTTAATTGCCAAGGTGAATGCCATCTTTATTGTCAGTTTTTTTGCCAAAATTGCTTGTCTTTTGTGTGGATGATAGCATGACCTTCTACTTAATTCCCAAGTCATAAAGTTGGGACTCTGTCCTTTAAACCTCTTGTTTTTTCCCTGTATTTATTTGGTGTCAAACCGTGGCAATTCTTTTTTTCATTTTTTTCTTGAGACAAGGTCTTGCTCTATTGCCCAGGCTGGACTGCAGTGGCACAATCATAGCTCACTGCAGCCTTGACCTCCCAGGCTTGAGTGATCCTTTCACCTCAGCTTCCCTAGTGTCTGGTACTACAAACAGATGTCTAACTAATTTTTGTAATTTTTTTTTTTGCAGAGACAGGGTTTCACTGTGTTGCCCAGGCAGGTCTTGAACTCCTGGGCTCAAGCAGTCCTCCCACCTTGGCCTCCCAAAGTGGTGGGATTACAGGTGTGAGCCACTGCACCCAGCCTTGACAATACTTTTTGAAACGGCTTTCAGATGCTGGCTTTTTAAATATTTGGTTGAGATCCTTATGATTTACCATCTGAATTTTTTATTTTTTATTTATTTATTTTTTTTAGGCAGAGTTTCACTCTTCTTGCTCAGGCTGGATTGCAATGGCGTGATCTCAGTTCACTGCAACCTCTGCCTCCCAGGTTCAAGCGATTCTCCTGCCTCAGTCTCCTGAGTAGCTAGGTTTATAGGCATGCTCCACCACACCCAGCTAATTTTGTATTTTTAGTAGAGATGGAGTTTCTCCACGTTGGTCAGGTTAATCTTGGACTCCCAACCTCGGGTGATCCACCCGCCTTGGCCTCCCAAAGGGCTGGGATTACAGGTGTGAGCCACCATGCCTGGTCTACCATCTGAATTTTTATAGTTAATTAACCAGGTTTAATAGTTTAATAGTTGGTTAGCCACACATTTATGTTTTCCTTGATGTTATCTGTCTCTAGAGTTGTTTTCTAAGAAGTATTTTTAATCTTTGTATACTAGAGTCTTTAAAATCTCGATGAAAGTTACAGATTATCTTTCTGGAAAAATGCATATATTGTATGTGTGATTTTTGTATGTTATCTCAGTAGAGGGGGACTCACAGGCCTCGCCATCTGTTGACTGCCCCTCCTCCAGTTAAGCCTTCTTGTTCTAAAATACAGATCAGTTTTGTAACAACTCCCCCACAATCCCCCACTGCCACTTGAAAATCTTTTACTCCCAACTACCTATAACCTTGTCCAAACGCTATGAACTTGAAAAAGTCTTCACAGTCTCACCTTGGCATTTTTTCCATGGTAATTTTTTTTTCTAGCCTTTCCGTGTATGTTATTCCTTAACCTATACCAGGTTAAAAGGCATTCTTAGGAAAATATATGAACTTATATGTCTTCATGCCTTTGTTCATGTTAGGTTTCCTTTCTGAAATGCCTGTCTTTTCTGCTTATTCATCCATTAAGAACCAGGTTGCATTTCATCACTTTCCTGGCACTTTTACTACAGGTACACATTAATGTCTCCTTCCTGTGGGCTTCCATAAAGCTTTGCACACATTTCTATCATGTATGTAACACTTTTACATGGTATCATATTTCCATGTCTTTCTACTGAAATATGAACTCATGAAAAAGGGCAATGTTTTATTTGTCATTGTATTTCCAGTGTCTAGCACAGTGCCTGGGACAAAGAAGATGCTCATTAAATATTTGTTAAATGAGAGATTATAAGATTTCTTCCTTTCTATCTCAAGCTATTTTAACAAAATTAAAATACAGCCTTCTCCTCTGTTCCTCAAAATGTATTTTTTTGATATTTGACTTTTTTAAGAAGTTGTTTTATGTGAAATTCTTGAACATGTAATTTAAGTCACTATTAAATATCTAAATATAAATGATGAATAATTTTTTTTTTAGGCAGTCGTCTTTTAACTGGTTCGAGCTATTTGCAACTCTGGTCCAATACGAACTTGGAGAAGCCAACTGAAGATGAAAATTTAAATAAAACAGATCTTAACTTTGGAGATTGGAGATGCATTTGGCATTGCAAGTAAGCAATTAATCAGGGGAGTAAACTGATAAACCTATTGTTCTATGTGGTTTTATTATAAATGTATTTTAGTTGTATAAAACCACACTGACATAAAAAAGTGTTGCTTTTTAGTCTATGGTATGCTTTTTCTTATACATAGATAATTTTCTATTTCCTGTGTTCTACAAATACATTTTTTAAAAATGTCAAATAAAATAGGAAGAAACATAAATGTGTAAGGCCTATATGAAGACCATTAAATACAAACTTGCCAAATTATATAAAAGTTAGATGACTTTCTTGCTTTTGAATGGAAGACTTCCTATTGTGAAGAAATCTATATTTCCCACATAATCTATATATTGAACATAATCCTTACCAAAATCTGAGTCGAATTTCTATTGAGCATAGTTCTAAGCTCTGCTTAAAAGGACAACTATGGGAAAGTCAGAGAAATTCTGAAAGAAAAGAAGAGTAAAGATATACAGTATAGTAAAATGAATTCTCATGCCACAGATTATCAAGCATTTTGTTATTGATATAGGAATAGACAGATTAGGATCCAGGATTAGACTCTGAAGTGCAACGATGTGAGGCTCACTGCAATTCTTACTGCCTCCCTGGCTCAAACAGTTCTCCTGCCTCAGCCTCCTGAGGAGCTGGGATTACAGGCACGCGCCACCACACCCAGCTAATTTTTTAGTAGAGACGGGGTTTCACCATGTTGGCCAGTTTGGTCTTGAACTCTTGACTTCAGATGATCTGCCTGCTTCAGCCTCCCAAAGTGCTGGCGTTACAGTTGTGAGCCACCATGCCCAGCAGTAAGGTAGTATTTTATAGTAAGGAAAACTAGCTAGCTCTGTAGAGGGGAAATTAAGTTAGAGTCTTTCATACCTGATACCAAAACAAATGTGAGATGGAGGAAAAAATTTCTATAAAATGAAACAAAAATATTAGAGGAAAATACAGGTGAGATTTTATATTTTAGAGCTACATTGTGCAGTATGGTAGCCACTAACTGCATGTTATTATTGAGCACTTGAAATGCAACTAGTCCAAACTGAGATGTGCTGGACTTCAAATATTTAGTATTAAAAAAAGTGTAAAATATCTCTAACATTTTAAAAAATATGTTAAAATTAAAATTTTATATATTAGGTTAAATAAAAAATATAATTAATTTTGCCTGTTTCAACTTTTTAAAAAAATGTGGCTGATAGGAAATTTAAAACTACATGTTTGGCTAAGTTTGTCATTTATGTTATATTGCTGTTTGACAAGAAATGCTGCTTTAGAGTTAGGGAAAGACTAAGAATGACTCCCAAACTGGAAATGGATAGGCTAGGAATAATTAATAGTTCTAACCGTATCAATAAAACGTTTCTATAAAGCAAAATGTCCACAAGGAAAGAAACACAAACATGAGGAGAAATATGTGCAGTTTTGGGCAAATGCGTTTTTAAAAGTAGGCCTTAAATTAGTTAGAAAAGAACAGGTATCACAATAGTAAGCAACTTTGGGCAATGGAGAGAAAATTTTAAGAAGGTATAGAACATATTAACAATAAGTGCGATAAAAGGTGTTCTCACTTGAAATCAAGAATGTGAAATTTCAGAAAAAGGATGAATCTTATGTAATAGTGTTTAGAGAAATAGGTACTCTTGTATACTGTCAATAAGGGAGTAGAGTACAGTTGGTATTATTTTTTGAGATGGAGTCTCACTCTGTTGCACAGGCTGGAATGCAGTGGTGCGATCACAGCTCACTGCAAGCTCCACCTCCTGGCTTCACGCCATTCTCCTGCCTCAACCTCCCAAGTAGCTAGGACTACAGGCCCCCACTGCCACGCCTGGCTAATGTTTTCTATTTTTAGTGGAAACAGGGTTTCACTGTTAGCCAGGATGGTCTCGATCTCCTGACTTCATGATCCTCCTGCCTTGGCCTCCCAAAGTACTGGGATTACAGGTGTGAGCCACTGCACCCACCCTGATACTGTCTTTTTGGAGCACACTTTGGAAGTATGATTCAACAGGCTTAATTTTTTTCATGTCCTTTAAATAAGTTTTCCAGATTTCATTCATTCATTCAACAAATATTTGTTGAATGGTTCCAGGCAGCTTTAAAGATGCTTAGAATATTGCGATGAACAGATAGGGGTAGATAGAAAATAAACCAGTAGACTGGTATAATAGGATCTTAAGTGAAACTGACTAGATTTATATGAAGTGGTGATAGCATAAATATCACGTACCAAATTAAGGCAGACGTCCCATATGTGGAATTTACAGAGGAGATTTCAAAGGAGCTGATTCCATGTATTTTGCAATCCTCGAATAGGTAATGGGTTAACATGTAGAAAGGGAATAGAATTTTGCATAAATAATTCTTTAGAAAGAACTGTAGGCCAGGCATGGTGGCTCACGCCTGTAATCTCAGCACTTTGGGAGGCCGAGGTGGGCGGATCACCTGAGGTTGGCAGTTCAAGACCAGTCTGACCAAGATGGCGAAACCCCATCACTACTAAAAATACAAAAATTAGCTGGGTGTGGTGGCACATGCCTGCAATCCTAGCTACTTGAGAGGCTGAGGCATGAGAATAGCTTGAACCCCGGTGGCAGAGATTTCAGTGAACCGAGATCACACCACTGCACTCGAGACTGGGCAATAGAGTGAGACTCTATCTCAATAAAAAAAAGAAAAAAAAATAGTATTTTGTCTTAAGGATATCCTTAGGATTAACCAGATGTTCTGAAAATGTGTGTGCAGGCATGTTCACTTCTCTTTTTGTTGTTGTTGCAGCAAAAATTAGAAAACAGCAGTGAAAAATTATTTGAAATCATTGTAAACATATACAATGGAGTATCATAAGCCAATAAAATAATGTAAATCTGTACACCCGGAAAAATATACACATCTTTTGCATCTATATGCAAAGATATTCATGACAAATTTTTGTTATTGTTTTTTGAGACAGAGTTTTGCTCTGTCACCCAGGCTGAGTAGAGTGGTGTGATCTCGGCTCACTGCAACCTCCACCTGCCGGGTTCAAGCAATTCTCCTGCCTCAGCCTCCCAAGTAGTTGGGATTACAGGGGCGTGTCACCACACCTGGCTAATTTTTGGTATTTTTAGTAGAGATGGGGTTTCATCACGTTGGCCAGGCTGGTCTTGAACTCCTGACCTTGTGGTCTGCCCACCTCAGCCTCCCAAAGTACTGGGATTACAGGCGTGAGCCACCGTGCCTGGCCTGTGTCATATTTTTAATGGGTGGTAAATATGACTTCAGTTTCTAGCCCTACTTCTCCCACCTTTTTCTGCAGAAAGTAGAGAGAGCAGAGAAAAGGATTTGGAAGTTTATGTATTAAAATGTTAAGATTGGCTTTGTCTGAGGAAAGGATGTGGCAGTATTGGTGAAAAATATGAATGATTTCATTTTCTTTTTATCTACCTGTATCAACTTTTCTACAATGTATTATGCTTAAAATCAGAAAAAAAAGTTATTTGTATCTGAAATGAAATGTGAGAGAATTCCTCTTTGGATATCTTTACAAATAAATTTAGTATTGACCTATCTAATCATGAATTTGGTCAAAGAAAAGGAAAGTAATGATAGTGGTGGGTGTCTTGAGATCAATATATATGAGTAGCTGTAAGGGAAGGCAATGAAGAGAAATGAACCAAAGTTCCTTTGAGAAGAAAAGGCAAGTATGTACCAAGTATATAGGTGAAGCTGGTAGGCTGAATCCCTAATTGCTGCAAGTCCCGTATTAACCCACATATAATCTTTAATTAGGTAAGTATTACCCTAAGGCAAATTTATTATATATTATCCCTGAAAATGTATGTTGGCATATAGGGATCCATGGTTCTGGAAACTAGATTTCCAGATTTAAAAAATGAAACCATTCTCTCTCATTCTAAGGGAATGAAAGTTAAGACTTTTTTGTTTTAGACTTTAAAGATTTTGACAAGCCATTCCTTCCATGATTTTATGGATGGATGTTTTTATATTTAAAGTTTTTCTTACTAACTAGTTCATTTTTCAGGTACACAAAGATGTGAGTGTGAAACTTATAAAATTTTCTGTCTTTTGAACCAATTGCTGATGTATAATTTTGAGAATATTGAACTTTTTCTTTTTAGTTTTCATTGCAAATTTTTCCTTATCTGTTTAATTTCCAGAACTGCTTCCCAAGTTCATTTAATGAAATTTTCACCAGATGGAGAATTTTTTGCCACTGCTGGGAAGGTAAATTGTGAAAATGCTATTGCCAAATTATGTGTTTATAGTTTACTTTGAAACTTTAAAAACATTAACTGGCTTCATTCTTTTATTTATTTAACTTGAAAATAATAATTTCCATTAACAATTTTTTGTTTGTTTGTTTTGAGATGGAGTCTCACTCTGTCTCCCAGGCTGGAGTGCAGTGGCGCAGTCTTGGCTCACTGCAGCTTCCGCCTCCCAGGTTCAAGCAATTCTTCTGCCTCAGCCTCCCAAGTAGCTGGGACTACAGCCACGCGCCACCACGCCCGGCTAATTTTTGTATTTTTTAATAGAGATGGGGTTTCACCATATTGGCCAGGCTGGTCGCGAACTCCTGACATTACAGGCGTGAGCCACCTTGTCCGGCCATTAAAAATTTTAAGTAGCAGAAATTGACTACATTATTGTGGTGTTAAAAGACTGTGTGATATAATTGAAATAACACAGACATAGGGGCAGATCTGGATATAAATCTGCCATTTACCAGCTTTATCCTCTTGGGCAAGTTAATCTTCTTGAGCCTTTCTTTTCTCATATGTAATATGAGGAAAAAAACACCTACCTCATAGATCGTTAATCATAGGATTAATTTAGACAATATAGGCAGTATAGAGTCACCGGCACAGTGCCTTTCATGTAGTATACAATCAATAAAGCATAGCTTCAACTTACATTATGTTTTAGCTGATGTATATTAGGCTGTTTTTAATATATAAGACTTCATAGGCTTTCTAGAAAGATACTAGTAACCATTTCTTTAGTGTGCATACTTTGTTACTACCTGTTGATTTTAAAGCAATGTATTGCTTTGAAGTTATTTTTATTCATTGGTTCATAGAGCATTTCATGAACTGCTAATAAGTCAAGTTATTGTTCTCATGGCTCAAAGCCTTCTGCAAACTAAGAGTGTAAGATACTCTAAAACCACAGTAAGGTTTTTGTTTTTTAGGAGAGAAGTGGAGCTGTTTATTCTGATTGACTTTACAGGTGGGAACTCAGTTATAGCTTAAAAGCAGTACCTGGTACATTCTAGTCTCCTTTGCTTTTCCCTTATTTCCCAAATTAGGACTATAAATTTGATTGTACATAGAGTATTTTATGTAGTATTTATATATTAACTTGTTATTTTCATCATCAACATTTTCTTTGAAAAGTCACATGAAAATTCATGAAAAGTACTTTGTTGTTTTTTTTTTCCAATAATTAGCAGTCTTCATAAGTCTTCTAGTGGTATTGATTTCTTTTTTAATATTTGGCTTACTGGAAAAGAAATCCATAGTTTTATCTTTCAGTCTTTCCTGAATGACTCCATTCCCCATACTCTAGTAATTAGCAAGCGTTTTTCTTGAACACATTACACACATTCATGCACTTCAGTTTTTAAAGCACAATTAGGGAATGCTAATAGAAAAGTGCCAGAATCAGAATTTTGTTCTTAATTCCTCTGTGCCCAACGTCTCTTCCCATCCCCAAGTTCTTGCCATTGGGGAGAAGAGTCTTACTTTTGCTGTTTGGAGAAAAGTCTTACTTTTGCTATTTGATTTAATCTTTAATTCTGATCTGCATGTTTTTCTGGTTTCTTTTTTTCCTTAGGATGACTGTCTTTTGAAGGTATGGTATAATGTAGAAAACTGGCGGACAGCTGTTACTTCTCCAGATAGAAGTTCAGAAAAACAATCCCAAGGAGAAACTGACTTTTCTTTTGTGTATCTGGCCCATCCTCGAGCCGTAAATGGATTTTCCTGGCGTAAAACAAGCAAATATATGCCTAGGTCAGTGGATTGGTCATTTTCCCCCATGTATTAAGGAACATCATCTTTGTTACTTTTGATTGCTTCTCTCACTTTTGAGAGTTCGTAGTTAATAGGACTTCTGAGCCTATGAAGATTGGAGTAATATTAAATAGTCTCTGGCCTGCACATCTCTGGCTGTGGGTCAACTATGTTTGATGCTTAGGATAAGAGCCATATTAAAGGAGTTTAAGCTGGGATAATTTACTCCATATCAGATGTCTTTAAGTCACAGAGTTGTACATATTTTCTTTTTCTTTTTGTTTTGTGTCTAATCCTATCATCTTTTTTCTCCAGATTGTTTGTTTATATTTTTACATAAATACTCTGTCATCTTGTACCTCCTAGTATCTCTTCCCTGGTTTTCTTCTTTTAAAAAATAGCTTTATTAAGAGGATATACCATTAGTTCTTGTATGTTTATTTGACTGCACCCGCCATATCTGAGGAAAAGAAAGAGTAGGTTAATACCCTACATTATTCTTCTCTGAAATGGGTGTAAGTTTAACCACACAAGCACACAGTGACACACACATACATACCCCCAGTCCCTTCTTTTTTGTCTGTAGTTCTGGAAAGAGTTAATATCGTACTGAATTTTAGTAGGTTATAGAGACCTATTACTTAAATACAGGTAGAAATTCCCTATTTTTTTGTTTGTTTGTTTGTTTTTTGTTGTGTTTTTGTTTTGTATTGAGACAGGGTCTTGCTCTGTCATCCAGACTGGAGTGCAGTGCCCCAATCATGGCTCACTGCAACCTCCACCTCCTGGGCTCAAGTGATCCTCCCGCCTCAACTTCTCAAATAGCAGGGACTACAGGTGTGTGCCACCATGCTGGGCTAATATATTTTTTTCTTTTTGGATTTTTTGTAGAGATGGGGTGTTGCCATGTTGTCCAGGCTTGTCTTGAACTCCTGAGCTCAGATGATCTGCCTGCCTCAGTCTCCCAAAGTGCTGGAATTACAAGCATGAGCCACTGTGCGCAGCCAGAAATCCCATTTTGTACCATATGGCCATTTTCAATTTGGCCACACCATGTGGCATTTTTTCCCTAACTTTTCACTGTTTTGTGAATTTTGCTGACTAGATGTTTTGAGCTATAGTGTAGCTATAGCCAGGACAGGGATAGAGAAAAGAGAATGAGAAAAAATGGAGTGAGTTGGGTGTGAGGATGGGGAAAGGAGGAGAAACAAGGGGTTGGGGAAGGAAAGAAAAAAAGATGCTAGGAAGGGAGAGGTAGGGGACAGAAGGAGAGAGGTAGAAAGGGAGGGTGGCCTGGAAAGTCTGTGAAAGCAAAGAATGGTGGGAGAGGGAAGCCCAGAGAGGAGGTAGAAAGGGAGAAGAAGAGAGGGAAGTAGACAGAGGAGAGGGAGCCAGAGGGAGAGAGATGCAAGAATGGAGGAGGGAAGGAGAAGGAGAGAGCAACCAATACAAATCATGCTGTTCTCCCTTCTCTTCTGCAGCTTCTTTTTTTGTCAGGTAGGTATGTTTAACAAAGTGGCCACTAGGCAGTATTTTGATTTCTTTTCTCATTACTTTAACTCACTGAGTTACTGATAAAACCTGCTGATTGTTCCGTTTTTAAAAATCAGATATATATGCTGGAACAAGTTGCTACTGCAAAATATTGTGACTTTTTCTTTCTCTCTTCTAAAGTTACTGAATTCCCTGATGGAAGGTAGTCCTTGTTGATAGGGTTTCAGCCTTTGAGTTCTTGATGCTTATGGGACTTATTAACATATATGTAATTGATTTTTGCTTTTATTTTAAGGAGGTGGCAAAAAGGAAATTAACTGAAAGTCAAGGATGACTAAGGAGGGGAAGTGTTTAGTACCTACTTTGTCATGAATATTCAATTCTTGCATTTCACCGCTTTGGGCATCTGTTAGGCAAGGAGAGAATAAGTGTACTCAGTAGTTACTGTCGGTTTTTGTGACTGTGCAGGTGCCTTTATAGGAAGTAGAAATGAAGCATATGATATAATTCAAAGAACTATCCACTCAATAAATCAGAAAATTTTATTACAAGATGTGGTTATTTCTTGTGTGTCAATTGAGAGATTGTGGCTTAATCTCAGTCTTTGTTTTTTTAGATGTAAAAAGAATCTTATTGAGAGCTGGGATGGTGGCACACACCTGAAATCCCAGGATGAGGCGGGAGGATTACTTGAACCGGAGGATTGCTTGAACCCAGGAGTTTGAGAGCAGCCTGGGCAACATAGTGAGACCACATCTCTTAAAAAAAAGAAAGAACTTTTGGCAAGATTATTGAAACGAGAACTACTGAATTCTAGGCAGAAAAGACATAGGTTGGCAAGCATTTGCTGTGATGAAATCTATACATATTGATATTTTCTTCATTAGCATCTTAGTTGGTACATTTAAGTAATTACAGAAATATCGTAGAATTGTCTGTGATACTATGTGGTATTTGTATTTTTGCTTCTAAAATCTTTTCATTCCTTAGGGCTTCTGTATGTAATGTACTGTTGACTTGCTGCAAAGATAATGTGTGTCGTCTTTGGGTAGAGACATTTTTACCAAATGATTGTTTGCTATACGGAGGTGACTACAGCCATTGGACTGGATCAATTAATTTAACAAATAACTTCAAGAGAAATGCTTCCAGTAAAGAACGAGTTCAAAATGCTTTAGAAGTGAGTGTTTTTGTTACATTACTTACTACAAGTTTTAAAACCTTTGGTACATTGCCATTTTGGTAACAAAGTAATGTTATAAAAAATCTATATCCTAGGAAAATCAGTCTTAGAAAATTTTCAGTTCTATTTGGTTCAAAAATATCTTTTTATCTAGATTTTGTCTGAAACACAAAACTACCTGTAATTATGAAGTTAATCTTAGGTTTACTGATGATGATGATAAAAGGTTGATTACATTTGACTTAGCTGAAATAACGTAAAGTAAAATCTGAGAATGCAAAGATTTAACTCTAAAAATAACTTATTTTTCCTTTCATAGAGCTTGAGTAGTTTATCCTATTCTGTTTTTCTACCATTTTATCTTTAGAAACCCCACCCCACCCCCCAGAACTTGGGGTCTTTACAAATTAATATTGAAAGTGAAAGTCAATTTTTGGTTTTTGGACATGCTAAAGGTAGAATAGTAATACATTTGATCATAGCCTAAAGGCTGAGAAACAATAGAATAGTAATACAGATTTTTTTTTTTTTTTTTTGAGGCAGATTCTCACTCTGTCAGTCAGGTTGGAATGCAGTGGCATGATCTTGGCTAACTGTATTCCTGGCCTTAGCTTCCTGAGTAGCTGGAATTACAGGTGCACATCACCATGCGCATGCCCAGCTAATTTTTGTATTTTTTAGTAGGGAGAGGGCTTCACCATGTTGGCCAGGGCTGGTCTCGAACTCTTGACCTCAAGTGATCTACCTGCCTCGGCTTCCCAAAGGGCTGGTATTACAGGCATAAACCATGGCGCTCGGCCTATTATTTTCTTAATATTGAAAACAGGAGGTGATTTTATGTTTTGTGGATTTGTTTTTTTGTGGGGGAGGGCTGCTTGTTGTTTTTTGAGACAGAGTCTCTCTCTGTCACACAGGATGGAATGCAGTGGCGTGGTATCAGCTCACTGCAATCTCTGCCTCCCATGTTCAAGCAATTCTCCATCCTTAGCCTCCCAAGTAGCTGGGATTACAGGTGCGTGCCACCACGCCTGGCTAATTTTTGTATTTAAAGTAGAGATGGGGTTTTGCCATGTTGGCTCAAGTAATCCTCCCACGCAGGCTGATCTTGAACTCCTGGCCTCAAGTGATCTGCCTGCCTTGGCCTCCCGAAGTGCTGGGATCACAGGCATGAGCCACCACGCCCAACCCTGAAAATAGAAGTTATTTTAAAACAATTTATCTTTGAATGCTTTGTATGATTATGCAGCAACTATTTTTCTAATTTGAATAGTATTCTCATGGCTCAGAATATAATAAATTCTATATTGATTCAACAACGAATAGAATGGTTACATGTAGTAATAGCTGAAAGAAGTTATTGACCAGGAATCTGAAGACTTGTTCTACCTTTTGCCCTGTCTCTTCTTAGCTAGATGATCTTGGGTTCTATATAGACTATTTTATCATATGAAAGATGAGAATAACAGTATTTACACTGCCTGCCTCGTGGCATCAAATGGTATGATCTCTGTGAAAATGCTTTGTAAATTATGAAATGTCCCATGTGCAATGGTAATATTGTTTAATACTATGTGGTCATAAGGAGTTAGCTATAGACAAAAGAGGACAGTGTGTGTAGAGACGTCATTCACAAACAATAGTATTGGAAAAAAAAATTTTTAACATTTGATTTTAGGAGTTACATTCTAAGAAAATAAGCCTAATAAAAATTGCAAAATATTGTGTGAGGATTAAGAGAACATCCAGGTACTTTAAGTCATAACTTTATTCTTCAGGATTCAAATTTGCTATACCAAAATATTGAAAGATGTTTTTACATATAAAATGTTAAAAGGCGTTTTTACATATAAAACATATAAAATGTTCTGAACTAGGATATATGTAACTTCTGAAAATCATTATGTAACCTACACATGTACATCTTTTGACAATATAGGCATTAGTTTTGTTTCTATTCACACAGGTAAATCTGAGACATTTTCGAAGAGGTCGGAGGAGATCACTTGCACTTGTGGCACATACTGGATATCTGCCACATCAGCAGGATCCTCATCATGTGCACAGGAACACTCCACTGCATGCCAATGCACTTTGCCACTTTCATATTGCAGCCAGCATCAATCCAGCCACAGGTAATGAAACATTGTTCAAAACATGTTTCTGAAATTGAATAGTTTGATTTTATGACAAGTAAGTTATACTTTTAGTTTTCAAATAAGTAAAATATTGGAGGTGACTTTCTTAGGCCACTTTTCATCGTAGCAAGCTCACTGATTTCTGTTTGTTTGCCCTTTAAGACCATGATTTGACTTGTGAGTTAGGATCTTGATAAGGCATTGAAGTTCATTATTAATTTATTCAAAAGATAATATTTGAACTGTTACTTAATAAAGGTTAGTACTACGGATGTAGTATTGTATTTTTTTACTTTTTATTTTTTGTTGCTGTGTTGCCCAGGCTGGTCTCAAACTCCTGGCCTCAAGCAGTCTTCTTGCCTTGGCCTCCCAAAATGTTGGGATTACCAGCATGAGCCACCATGTCCAACCTCTAAAAGTAGTATTTTATAATTATCGTATAGTTGTTAAAATCTTTGTGTTTGGTACTTGATCTTTGGATCCATTCCATAAAGAGGGCAGAAAAATGTAAAAGTTATTACTGGGAGAATTAAGAAACTTATCTCTGTAGTCAAATATGTACTATTAGACTAAGAGATCTAGAATATCTGGGTCTACCTATGAATTTGAAGATTTAAGTACTTACTATTTTTGAGATGGGGAATCCCTCCTGTTACCCAGATTGGAGTATAGTGGCATGAACATGGTTCACTGCAACCTCGACTTCCCAGGCCCAGGTGATTCTTGCATCTCAGCCTCCCAAGTAGCTGGGACTATAGGTGCATACCACCATGTCCAGCTAATTTTTTGTATTTTTAGTAGAAACTCAGTTTCACCATGTTGTCCAGGCTGGTCTCGAACTCCTGGACTCAAGAGTTCCACCTGCCTTGGCCTCCTGAAGTGTTGAGATTATAGGCATGAGCCACTGTACCTAGCCAGGACTTACTATTTTAGTAACTTTTTTTTTTTTGGACAGAGTCTTGCTCCGTTGCCCAGGCTGGAATGCAGTGGTGTGATCTTGGCTCACTGCAGCCTCCGCCTCTTGGGGTCAAGCGATTCTCATGCCCCAGCCTCCTAAGAAACTGGGGTTACAGGAACGTGCTTCCATACCCAGCTAATTTTGGCATTCTTAATAGAGACGGGTTTTCACCATGCTGACCAGGCTGATATTGAACTCCAGGCCTCAAGCATTCTGTCCACCTCGAGTAAATAATTTTTATGATTCTAAAAACTAGTTTGTCATAATTGGAGCCTGGAATATTACTTGAGAAAAATATTAAAGGCAATATTTGCATAAGATGTTATTTGTACAAAAAGTGAAAAGTAAAAGCCTACTTTTCACCTCTACTCCACCTTTGTCCCTCTCTCTAGAAGATAACCACTAACAACTATTGATGAGTTTTTGTTTGTTATGAAATATTCTTTTTTTTTTTTTTTGAGATGAACTCTTGCTCTGTTGCCCAAGCTAGAGTGCAATGGCATGATCTTGGCTCACAGCATCCTCTGCCTCCTCATCAAGCAATTCTCCTGCCTCAGCCTCTTGAGTAGCTGAGATTATAGGTGCCCACCACCACGCTCAGCTAATTTTTTATATTTTTGGTAGATACGGGGTTTCACCATGTTCACCAAGCTGGTCTCAAACTCCTGACCTTGTGATCTGCCTGCCTCGGCCTCCCAAAGTGCTGGGATTACAGGCAGGAGCCACCGTGCCTGGCCTTTCTTTACCTTTCTTTTAAAAAATAGATTTGGAGAAAATTGTTTATACTCCTTGAGTTCATTCTAGCCTTTACAGTTTAGCAGACACCAGCATGATCCAGATTTGATTTAATGTGATACTTAAATTTTTGCTTACTTCCACTAATTAGGGATTATTTGCAACAACTCACTGGATTTGTACTTCAGTATACTCATTTTTACATTCATATCAAAAGTAACACCAAGGAGCTGGGCACGGTCGCTCATCCCTGTAATCCCAACATTTTGGGAGGCTGAGGTGGGCGGATCACCTGAGGCCAGGAGTTCAAGACCAGCCTGCCCAACATGGTAAAACCCTTTCTCTACCAAAAATACAAAAAAAAAAAAAAATTAGCCGGGTGTGGTGGCAGGCACCTGCAGTCCCAGCTACTTGGGAGGCTGGGGCAGGAAAATTGCTTGAACCTGGGAGGCAGAGGTTGTAGTGAGCTGAAATTACACCACTACACTCCAGCCTGGGTGACAGAGCGAGACTCCATCTCAAATAAAAAAAGAAAGTAATACCAAGGAACACATGCTCTTTTAGCTGAGGTGACTGTCTTGAATGCTTTCCTTGAACATGAGAAGGGAACCTCAACTTCAGTCTTGATGCTAACATATAAGCAGTCTGTCTTAGAAATAGCTCATTAAAGAGGTTGATAGGTCAGTCTATTAAGTAAAAACTAATTGTTGTTGATATTAAGATACATACGTTACTAGTTCCTTTGACATTATGGTGATGACTTTTTTTTTTTTTTTGAGACGGAGTCTCGCTCTGTCGCCAAACTGGAGTGCAGTGGTATAATCAAGGCTTGCTGCAACATCTGCCTCCCGGGTTCAACCGATTCTTCTGCCTCAGCCTCCTGAGTAGCTGGAATTACAAGCAGGCGCCACCACTCCTGGCTAATTTTTGTATTTTTAGTAGAGTTGATGTTTCAACATGTTGGCCGGACTGGTCTCGAACTCCTGACCTCGTGATCCGCACGCCTCGGCCTCCCAAGGTGCTGGTATTACAGGCGTGAACCACTGCGCCCAGCCAACTTTTTTTGTGTGTGTGGATCAGTTTAAAATTTGCTTGTTGTCAAAATTCGTTATAAATTAAGATATTTCTATTAACAGAGCTACAAATTATAGACGTCATGTGAATATTTTAAAGTTTTAAAACATTTATGGTTAAATGAATTATACTATATGACCTAAAATATGTAATTTAATTTCCTTTACAATAGATACATTAAATTTACCATTTAAATCTGTTACTACTAATAATAGTGGCAAACATTATGTTGGAAATCTTTTCTTTTACATCACATTGTTATGTGGATTTTTGACAGTAGAAACAAAAATACAGAAATGCAATATATGAATATAACTAAATGCAGAATGGTGACTTTTTTCTCTTCGAGGGTAAAAAGACTTTTTTTCTCTTCTAGTGAAATAGAGAGACAGCATAAATAGAAAAAGATTGGTTCGTTAGCTTTACAGTTTTGCCTAGAAATTATCTATGATTGCATTTTTCCCCCTGCTACTTACCGAGAGTATAAAAAGGGAGTTAAAGGAAAGTTTCCTTGTTGGTTACTACCATAAGAAAGATGCTATATTCTATTTTAGCAGGGCCAATATATGGAAAATATCCAAATTTAATGTTGTAAAAAAATGAATTAGTAATGAGATTCTAGCTAAGGAGGGCACTAAATGAGGATTATATATTTATTTATTTATTTATTATTGTTTTTTGAGACAGAGTCTCACTCTGTCACCCAGGCTGAAGTACAGTGGTGCTATCTCGGCTCACGGCAAACTCCGCCTGCCGGGTTCACGCCATTCTCCTGCCTCAGCCTCCTGAGTAGCTGGGACTACAGGTGCCTACCACCACTCCCGGCTAATTTTTTGTATTTTTAATAGAGGCAGGGTTTCACCGTGTTAGCCAGGATGATCTCGATCTCCTGACCTCGTGATCCACACGCGTCGGCCTCCCAAAGTGCTGGGATTACAGGCATGAACCACTGCATCCGGCCAATGTATATTTTAAAAATCCAAAACAAAGGTTACTATAAAAAAGCTCTGGATGCATTGTAAGCATATAGGTTTTTTTCTTTTTTCATGTGTATTTTTAAACAATGGAAGGATCAACTGTGTTAGACTAAATTATGTTATTGGCTGGGTGCAGTGGCTCATGCCTATAATCCCAGCACTTTGGGAGGCCGAGGCAGTGGTGAAGTCAGGAGTTCAAGACCAGCCTGGCCAACATGGTGAAACCCCGTCTCTACTAAAAATATAAAATTTGCCAGGTTTGGTGGTGCATGCCTGTAATCCCAGCTACTTGGGAGGCTGAAGCAGGAGAATCACTTGAACGTGGGAGGCGGAAGTTGCAGTAAGCTGAGATTACGCCGTTGCACTCCAGCCTAGACGGCAACTGTGAAACTATGTCTCAAAAATAAAATAAAATATAAATATATGTATTTATTACATTATTGTATATGCTTCATTGAATGGAACTTTTGTATTATAATTATCGAAAAAGCAGTTTGCGTCATATTATGGCAATTTATCCTCATTGAAAATCTTGCAGTATCCTTTTATTTTGGAATATCCTGTCAACAGTCATACCACGAGGACATGAATGTATAACAACAAAATGTTCTCTTGCATTAAATTGAGGATATCTGTTCAATGAAAGACAAAAAGGAAAATGTAGGAAATGTACTTAGAGCTGTTATTTCTAAGTGCACAACACCATGGACAATTCAAGGCATCATAACCTCCATCAAGAACAATAACAAAAAAAAATTTTTGTCAGGCTGTTAAATCCATCATTATAGACAAAACTGGTGAAGATTGATTAGACAGATTCATCTAACACTGATGTCCAAGCTGGCATTGACAACTAATGCATAACTGGTGGTCAGTAGAGAATTTAAAAGATCTTCACTTTCTATTGTTCTTTTTCAGGGATCTTGAAGAGTTCTGTTCTAAAATATGTTGTTGAGTTGAGCTTTTCAGTTTGCTTTCTCATTCTCAAACGGATACCGTTTTTCCTCTAATTATTTGCCCTGTGCTTAAATTCCTTTTTGCTCTTGGCACCGTTGGAGCTCAGTTTCATGGTCCTTCAGTTTTTGAACTTTTTTTTTGACCTTCTCTTGAACACCTTCTCCATCTCTGTCTCCATCTTCTTCATTTTAGCTACATGCTCTCTTCTTTCCTCTTCCGTTTGTGCCAGAGGGCTCTTAGTAAGCTGCCCTTTATTCTTGTTGTTACCAACTCCATTGTAAGTCAGCTGCCAATTTTTTGCTTCTGTAGTTTTCGTAGTGGGCATTATCAGGAACATCTTTGAAGTCTTGTATGTGTGTTCCTATCAACATACTCCTTTGAATTGTAAAATTGCAGTGTTCACCATATTCAACATCAGCAACACCCCTAGGATACTGCTTTCCTCTGACTCTCTTGCTGTTAACTTCAATAGTAGTATTACTGCCTACCACAGCAAGAGGTACACAGTCCTTTTTCCTTTTTTTTTTTTTTTTTTTGGAGACAGAGTCTCACTCTGGCTTCAAGTGATTCTTGTGACTCAGCCTCCCAGGTAGCTACGATTACAGGCACATGCCACCATGCCCAGCTAATTTTTGTATTTTTAGTAGAGATGGGGTTTCGTCATGTTGACCAGGCTGATCTCGAACCCCTGGCCTCAAGTGATCTGCCTGCTCCGGCCTCCCAGAGTGCTGGGATTACAGACATGAGGCGCTGCACCCAGCCAGTCCTTTATCTTTTTTAACAAGTTTATTTTCTTCATCTTATGTTTTTGGAAATTCATATATTTAATTTTATGTTCGTGGATTTCTTTCATTATCTGTTTTTAAACTATTGACGTTTCTGTGGTATCAGCATGTCTGCTTTGGCAATAAGTGGGATGATACTTTTTCAAGCAAAAACTTCATAAACTTAGTATCCAATGGTTTAAGTCCATGTCCTGAAGGAGGAATGAAGTATAAACAACACTGTACCCTGTTATCAGGCATCTGACATCTGTTTTATCATGATTCTCCATTTAGGTGGTCCTCAATTTCCTGTCAGTGTAGTCAGTAACCAACAATTACTATTACCCTTTGCAACTCTAAATCCTAGGATATCAACTCTTGTGAGCAGCAACTGAACACCACCTTCTTTGATTAAAACTTTGTGTAGTTCCACCTACACAATCTTTTTAATTCTGTGAGAAGGATCTGGATACTCTGGAGAATACAAATCTGTGAGGAATAATGAGTCGATTAGTGTAAAGTTTCTGAATCCAGATTTACCAACTATCATAAGTATGAATTCCAACCCTCTTTTCACTGATTTTCTGGATATTTGATTTGGGAGATCGGAAAAATCCCACATAGACTTCAGGGTTCTTCTGTTGAGCTACGATGCTGCTGTTGATGCCTCTCTCCTCAGCAGCGGATCTCTTGCTGACTGGCATCTCCTCCCCACTCCATGACTAGCCCCAGCTGGAAATCTTATTTAGAGGTTAAATAAAATGTATTCCAGAGATTTAAAGATAAATAATATAAATTTATTCAGACCTGTAGAATGTACACCACCAAGAATGAGCCCTAAGGTAAACTATAGACTTTGGGTGATAGTGATGTGTCAGTGTGGATTCATCAATTGTAATAAATGTAGTAGTGGATGTTGATAATGTGGGAGGCTGTGCATATGTAGGATGGGGAATATGGCTGTACCTTTGAATTTTGCTATGAACTTAAAACTACTCTAAAAAATAGTCTTTAAAAAATCTCAAAATAGGCCAGGCACAGTGGCTCACGCTTGTAATCCCAGCACTTTGAGAGGCTGAGGCAGGTGGATCATGAGGTCAGGAGATCAAGACCATCCTGGCCAACATGGTGAAACCCTGTCTCTACTAAAAATACAAAAATTAGCTGGGCGTGGTGGTGTACGCTTGTGGTCCCAGCTACTCGGAGGCAGAAGTGAGAGGATTGGTTGAGCTCCAGAGGTGGAGGCTGCAGTGAGCCCATGATCCCCCCCCTGCATTCTCCCCTGTCTAAAAAAAAAAAAAAAAAAAACTCAAAATAAAATTAAAAAGTGAAAGAGAAAGACTTTCAGGCAAACAAAATATAAATGTAATAGTAATAAAAATATGAAACATGGATGTTTTATATGCTAGAAGGTAAAAATTTTAATTTTACAATCTTTTTTTCTCTTACAGACATTCCACTTCTTCCATCTATTACATCTCTGAGTCTAAATGAAAATGAAGAGAAGACTGGACCTTTTGTTGTACACTGGCTAAACAATAAAGAACTGCATTTTACTTTGTCCATGGAAGTTTTTTTACAGCAACTTAGAAAAAGTTTTGAACAACCATCTTCTGAGGCCAGTGTAGAAGATTCTAATCAGGCAGATGTAAAATCTGATGAAGGTAAAACTTTAAGAAGAAAGAAAAATTTAAAGTTTTGTTCAAAATAGCAGACATTTTCGTATTAGGGTAAAACTAGCTACTTGCAGGAAATAAACTCCAAAATTGCAATGACGTGATCTAAACATGGACTAGCTCATTTAATAATCTAGTGTAGATATTTCTGTTCCAGGTGGCTTTCTTCCACATGGTTATTTAAGGACTCGGGCTTCTCATTCTTCTGGTTTTGTTAGCCCTTAGGACTTTCCTCTATAAAGGACTCTCTGTAGACTGGCAGCATTGGTGTTACCCAGGAGCTCGTTAGAATGCGTGTCTCAAGGTCCACACAGACCCACCAAACCAGAATCTGCAATTTAATGAAATTTCCAGGTGGTTTGTATGTACATTAAAGTTTGAGAAGCATTGGAACTAGTACCTTAAATTTCTCTGCCTTTGGCCTTCATTTGGTATAGAGAGAGAGGTAGAGAGAAAGAAAGCATAGCTGTTTTCTCAGCTACCTTGATTGACACATATCACTTACACTGTCATTCAGCTGACAAGAACTAGTCACAGGGCCCGTGTAGTTCCTGACTGTATAGGCTTTATATACTGAGAAATGGGAAGTAAGAAACTGTGGTGGGCAGCTAGCCATGTGTTTTGGTTTTTTTTAAAGTTTTCTTTTAATGTCAAGATTGTTCGTGATCATTAGGGAAGAAAAATCGAACAAGTATACACAAAGTTTCCACATTGTTAAGTTTGATAAGTATCCTTCCAGTTTGATTCTTTTCTTATGCTCATACAAACATCTAAATACAGACTCTTAAAAGTTGTACTGTGGGTGCTCATTTTTATACAGAAATAATGTTCTGTACTTTGTTTTTTTTGTTTGTTTGTTTTTTCGAGATGGAGTCTTGCTCTGTCACCCAGGCTGGAGTGCAGTGGCGCAATCTTGGCTTACTGCAGCCTCCACCTCCTGGGTTCAAACAATTCTCCTGCCTCAGCCTCCTGATTAGCTGGGATTACAGGCACCTGCCACCACGCCTGGCTAATTTTTGTATTTTTAGTAGAGACAGGATTTCACCATGTTGGCCAGGCTGGTCTCAAACTCCTGACCTCACGTGATCCACCAGGGCCTCCCAAAGTGCTGGGATTACAGGCGTGAAACACCACGCTCGGCCTGCACTTTGTTTTAATTCAGTCAGTAATGGGCAGTTTTTCATTTCATTGTATTTAATGGTTGCTGAGTATTCCATGTCTAAGGAAAATGTCTAATAGGTCTTCTATTGATAGACATTTAAATTGATTTAAATTGTTTTTCATTATTCTAGGTACAATGACTTGTCTTTTTAATTTTTGTGTGAGTTTTTCTATAACCTTGATTTCTAGGTGTAGAATTTCCAGGGAGTGTACCAATTTTAAATATCAATAACTTCTGACAAATTGCCCTCCAGGAATGTTTTACTAGTTTTTACTTCCTCTTAGTGTATCTAAATATATGCTTTACATCCTTATCAACACTGGATGTTTTCATTGTATTACTTTTTTTTTTTGCCAGTTGATAACGGGACAATGGACAACTTGTTTTACTTTGCATTTTCTTGATGCAAATTAAGCAGAATATCTTTTATTATATTTTAGCCCTTCTGTGACTTGCCTTTTAATACCCTTTATCTAATTTCCTGCTGAGTTTTTTTTTCTAATTGATTTGTATATCTTGACTTACTTTTTAAATCTGGTAAACAGTCAAAACTTTAAAAAAATATGTCTTTTCAGAGAAAGGCTCTATATTGCTAACCAGGAATTGGGGGAGGGTGAGGGGACTGGGATTTTTGAAAGAGGAAAGACTATACATATTTACCTGTATTGATAAGTTGATATACAGTTTATTTTTTATTACTGAGGTGTTGAAGGAAACCTGGAAATTGGCACCATAAATGCATTCCCTTGAAATGGTTTCTTTAAGATGCCATACCAGTTACGAGTCCGTACACCTAGAAGATAACTGGTGTAGCATACTGAGATTTGGATAAACCTGGTACTTTGTAGAAAGTACAGATTACACTCAAATAATGTATTTTAAAAACTCAGTCCCGGCTGGGCGCGGTGGTTCACGCCTGTAATCCCAGCACTTTGGGAGGCCAAGGCAGGTGGATCATGAGGTCAGAAGATCGAGACCATCCTGGCTAACGTGGTGAAACCCCGTCTCTACTAAAAATACAAAAAAATTAGCCGGGTGTGGTGTTGGGCGCCTGTAGTCCCAGTTAATTGGTAGGCTGAGGCAGGAGAATGGCGTGAACCTGGGAGGTGGAGCTTGCAGTGAGCCAAGGTCGCGCCACTGCTCTCCAGCCTGGGCAACAGAGCGAGACTCCGCCTTAAAAAAAAAAAAAAAAAAACTCAGTCCCAATTATAGTTCCAATTCCAATTCCCTCTTTTATGCGTGAGCAAAACTGAGGTCCAGAAAAGTAGTGTGTGTTACTAAACGTTAGCTGAGTGGTTAAATATAGAACATCTGGATCGAGAAGCCAGTTTACTTATTTTCCAGTTGATACTACGTCTTCTATCAGTAATCCATAATCCACTGACTGAGTCCTGTATGGCTACTGATTACTCAGTGAACTCCAGTGACCTTATATTCTGGAGCAAAGTTACTTTTAATGCAGAGCCCATTTCTTATTAATATGAAAACTGTTATGTTTTTCATCTTGAATCCATTTATAAAGATATTTGTGTGTGTGTTTGTACTAGTTGTATTACTTTTACTAAGGCATTTTATGTTCCTCACACTCAAGGCAAAGAAATAAAACATAATCTGAAGAAAAATATATACTTCTTCAAAATAAAAAGCGTCTTCTTCATTATGCGGATCTGGGCATATTGTACAGTACTTAATGGCTCAAGTGGATCAAAGTACCTGTTTGATGTTGATCCACTGAATAAAATCTCATTCATATTTGATGACTGAACTAACTCTTTGGGGGCTGTGATAGATTGAACCATTCTGGTGATATCCCCAGATCTCACTAAATAAGAAAAGGCTCTACACCAGAATATGTAACAGTTGATCTGGCTATAAATTATATCTATAGGTTCTTTATTATTATAAGGTGGCAAAAGAGGCCCCTTCTTGAGCACATGGTTAATAAAAGTAGTATTGTTGTCTATAGATTGCTGGATTGATTTTGTGTTGTTATAATGAAGATAAAGTACATATACCACTGTCAGATTAAGAAACTTCCATAACTTGGCCAGGCATGGTTGCTCATGCCTGTAATCCCAGTACTTTGGGAGGCCGAGGCAGGTGGATCATGAGGTCAGGAGTTCAAGACCAGCTTGACTAAGATGGTGAAACCCCATCTCTACTAAAAAGTACAAGAATTAGCCGGGCACAGTGGCAGGCACCTGTAATCCCAGCTACTTGGGAGGTTGAGGCAGAATTGCTTAGACCCGGGCAGCAGAGGTTGCAGTGAGCCGAGATCATGCCACTGTATTCCAACCTGGGCGAGAGTAAGACTGAGTCTCACAAAAAAAGAAACTTCTACAACTTGTCTCAGTTGTTCAAATAATGGAGCAAGTTCCTTTTCTGGGTTGACAATTAGTCCTATATTGGCATTGCTGCTGGCTATGAAACTCACCACCAAAGGTAAGCGATTAAATTGAACTACTTGGTAGATGTTATAGTAACAAATGATACTTTTATTTTTTCAAAGTCCCAAGTTTTCTCCTTTTGTCTGTGCAAGGGCAAAAGTAGATAAGAAACTAGATCTCAAAGCGTGCTCTGGAGCATTATCATTAAGCATTGCCTTTACTAGTTTATTATAAAGGATATTGCAAAGGATACAGATAAACAGATGTGTAGGGTAAGGTATGGTGGAAGGGGTATGGAGCTTCCATGCTTTCCTTAGACATGAGACCTCCATGTGTTCAGCTATCCAGAAGCTCGGTAATTCTTAATTTACAGTAAAAGCCTGATTGTATTTACTTGGTTTATGAACTCTTTTGCTTATAGAAACGGATGATGGTGTTGATGATCTGAAAATAAATCCTGAAAAGAAGGAATTAGGCTGTGATAAAATGGTACCAAACTCAAGTTTTACGTCATTATCATCAGCTGCCATTGATCATCAGATTGAAGTACTTCTGTCTGAATGGAGTAAAAATGCAGATATGCTATTTAGTATTCATCCCATGGATGGTTCTTTGCTAGTTTGGCATGTGGATTGGCTGGATGAATACCAGCCTGGTATGTTTCGTCAAGTACAGGTACTACTATTATTTCTGGAGAGCTGCTTTCTTGTTTATGTGGGTACTGTTTTCTGATACCTCTTTATATAATTTTATATGTTCTAACACTTGCTTTCTTAATTCTAGGTGTCCTTTGTTTCCAGAATTCCAGTAGCTTTCCCCACAGGTGACGCAAACTCTCTCTGTAAAAGCATAATGATGTATGCCTGTACCAAGAATGTTGACTTGGCTATTCAGCAAGGGAAACAAAAACCTTCTGGCCTCACCCGTTCCACATCAATGCTTATTTCTTCCGGTCACAATAAATCATCTAATAGTTTAAAATTAAGTATTTTTACTCCTAATGTTATGATGATTTCAAAACACGCTGATGGTTCTCTGAATCAGTGGCTGGTCAGTTTTGCCGAGGAATCTGCTTTTTCTACTGTTCTCAGTATTTCCCACAAATCCAGATATTGTGGTCATCGTTTTCATCTTAATGATTTAGCTTGCCACTCAGTATTACCATTATTGCTGACAACATCACACCATAATGCATTAAGGACACCAGATGTTGATAACCCAAAGCAACCTTTTGATGCTCTAAATATTGAAGAATGCTCTTGGACACAACAAAATAAAAGCACTGTTGATGTGGCGTTTCAGGATCCCAATGCAGTTTACAGTGAGCTTATTCTTTGGAGGGTTGACCCAGTTGGGCCATTGTCTTTTTCTGGAGGAGTTTCAGAGCTTGCCCGGATTAATTCTCTTCATGTTTCTGCCTTTTCCAATGTGGCATGGCTGCCCACTCTTATACCCAGTTATTGTCTCGGTAAGTATTCTGGTTTTTATTTCAGTAATTTAGATTTGCTGACATTATCATTAAAGGGTGAAATTTTAATATTTGTAAATACTTTCTAGGTGCATACTGCAACTCTCCTAGTGCATGCTTTGTAGCCAGTGATGGACAATATCTGAGATTATATGAAGCAGTTATTGATGCTAAGAAACTTTTATCTGAGCTTTCTAACCCTGAAATTTCTGTAAGTAATGTCTTTTAAAACAGCTTAAGTATATAATGTTATGTTTTTAGATATTTTATATTTTGGGGGTATGTTCTAGAATTGTGACCTATAATTTGTAATAAGCATTTGTATCTTTGTTTTATTTTTTCACGTTTGTATTGTACTCTTACAATGATTCTAAGCTCCTTTAAAAGGAAACCATTTCTTTCACTCTTTGAAAGAAAGTAGAGTCTGGTCTCCTAAAATATGTTTCTGTAACACTTCTTTGCTCGTAGATAAATGAGGACTACTGACAGTATAATGTAGAAGTTATATCGGCCCATCTGCAGTTATTTTATAGGCCAGAGGAGCTGGAACAACAGGAATAGAATTTTTATCTTAAGCATGAAAAGAAAGAGCCCTTAGCTTGGTTACGATTCAGACAAGAGTTCTTTCAGTATTGTTGCAAGGCTTTTGCCTTATGACAGGCCACATTTGTTCTCATACCCACCTAATAACAACCTTTTAACTGCATTGTCTTGGAACATCCAACAAGCAAGCATTTCCACTTTTCTGGTTTTGACAATTTTTCTTTTGGTATCTCCAGAGGTAGCCTTCAGCTGTACCAAGCTTTCTATTTAGGAGATTCAAGCCATCTCCCTGACTGCCAATTAATGTATTTGTTAATGCTTGGCTTACAAAGTTGCATAAATGTCAGTGATCTGTTCCAATCCTGTTTTTTTTCTGTAAGTTAATTTTAATGCTTAACTTTGCAGAACACAAGGTTTTCCAAAACATGTATATAGTGTTACAGTAGAAATGTATATATTTGTGGGGAGTGGTCTTCTATTTATCAGGCATTTTTAAGTAATGGGAATTTAGATGTGAAGAAAACAGGTAAAAATTTGTATTGTAGAGCTTATATTCTGGTGAAGGGAGATACGAAGAAAACAGATAAAAATCTATTAATTAAAAAATACTATGGAGAGAAACAGTGTTGCAGAAGAATTAGGGATTGCCAGGGAAGTTGCTGGTCAGGGAAAATTTCACAGAAAAAGTACCATTTGAGTAAAGATCTGAAGATGTGGGAACTAGATATGCAGGTATTTTTTAAAGGGAGAGTGATTTGGGAAAAGGGACAGCTAGTTCGGAGATCCCGAGGCCACAGCATGTTTGGTATGTGATATGGTTTGGCTCTGTGTCCCACCCAAATCTCATCTTCAATTATAATCCCCACATGTTGAGGGAGGGACCTGGGTGGGAGGTGATTGGATCATGGGGGCAATTCTCCCATTCTGTTCTCATGATAGTGAGGGAGTTCTCACAAGATCTGATGGTTTTAAAAGTTGCAGTTTCCCCTGCGCATGTGCACTCTCCTGATACCTGTGAGGAAGGTGCTTGCTTCTCCTTTGCCTTCTGCCATGATTGTAAGTCCTGAGGCCTCCTGAGCTGTGTAGAATTGTGAATCAATTAAACTAATTTATAAATTACCCAGTCTGAGGTATTTCTTTATAGAGTGTGAAAACAGCCTAATACAGATAATTGGTACCAGGAGTGGGGCACTGCTATAAGGATAACGCAAAAATGTGGAAGCGACGTTGCAACTGGGTAACAGGCAGAAGTTGGAATAGTTTGGAGGGCTCAGAAGAAGACAGGAAGATGTGGGGAAGTTTGGAACTTCCTAGAGACATGTTGAATGACTTTGACCAAAATGCTGATCGTGATATGGACAATGAAGTCCTGGCTGAGGTGGTCTCTGATGGAGATGAGGAACTTACTGGGATCTGGAGCAAAGATCACTCATGTTATGCTTTAGCAAAGAGACTGGTGGCATTTTGGCCCAGCTCTAGAGATCCGTGGAACTTTGAACTTGAGAGAGATGACTTAGGTTATCTGGCAGAATAAATTTCTAAGCAGCAAAGCGTTCAAGAGATCACCTGGCTTATTCTGAATGCATTCAGTTATATGTGTTTATAAAGAGATGGCTTGAAACTGAAATTTATGTTAACTTACGTTTAAAAGGGAAGCAGAGCATAAAGGTTTAGAAAATATGCAGCCTGACCCTGTGGTAGAAAAGAAAAACCCATTTCTGGAGAAGAATTCAAGGGCTACAGAAATTTGCATAAGTAACCAGGAGCTGAATGTTAATAGCCAAGACAATGGGGAAAATGTCTCTGGGGCATGTCAAAGATCTTCGTGGCAGCCCCTCCCATCAGAAGTCCAGAGGCCTAGGAGGGAAACTGGTTTCATGGGTCAGGCCCAGGACCCAGCTGCTCTGTGCAGCCTTGGGATTCAGTGCCTTGCCTCCCAGCTGCTCTAGCTCCAGCCATGGCTAAAAGGGGCCATGGTACAGCTCGGGCTTTTGCTTCAGAGAGTGCAAGCCCTAAGCCTTGGTGGCTTCCACATGGTGTTGGGCCTGTGGGTGAGCAGAAGATGAGAGTTGAGGCTTGGCAGCAACCACCTAGGTTTCAGAGGATGTATGGAAACAGCTGCATGTTCAGGCAGAGGTCTGCAGCAGAGGCAAAGCCCTCATGGAGAACTTCTACTAGGGCAATGCAGAAGGAGAATGTGGAGTTGGAGTGTCCCACAAAATTCTACTGGGGCCTGCCTCATGGAACTGGGAGAAGAGGGCCATCATCCTCCAGACCCCAAAAAGGTAGATCCACTGACAGCTTGCACCATGTGCCTGGAAAAGCCATAAGCACTCAACACTAGCCCATGAAAGCAGCCACAGGCATTGTACCCTGCAGGAGCCACAGGGGCAGAGCTTCCCAAGGCCATGGGAACCCACCCGTGTGTCAGTGTGCCCTAGATGTAAGACATGTAGTCAAAGGAGATTTTGGAGCTTAAGATTTAATGACTGCCTGGCCAAGTTTCAGACTTGCATGGAGCCCATGGCCCCTTTGTTTTGGCCAGTTTCTCCTATTTGAAACAGAACATTTACCCAATGTCTGTGCTCCCATTGTATCTTGGAAGTAACCAACTTGCTTTTGATTTTACAGGCTCATAGGCAGAAGGGACTTCCCTTGTCTCAGATGAGACTTTGGACTTGGACTTTTGGGTTAATTCTGGAAGGAGTTAAGACTTTGGGGGACTATTGGGAAGGCATGATTGGTTTTGGAATGTGAAAAGGGGATTTGGGAGGGGCTTGTGTGAATTGATAATGGTTTATTGCTGTGTGCTCACCCAAATCTCATCTCGAATTGTAATTGCACATGTCAAGGGAGGCACCTGGTGGGAGGTGATTGGAACATGGGGGCCGTTTCCCTCATGCTGTTTGCCCGATAGTGAGCAAGTTCACACAAGATCTGATGGTTTTAAAAGTGGCAGTTTCCCCTGCGTGGTTTCTTTCCTGCCACCTTGTGAAGAAGGTCTTACTTCTCCTTCACCTTCCACCATGATTGTAAGTTTCCTGAGGCCTCCCCTGCCATGTAGACCTATGAGTCCGTTAAACTTTTATTTATAAATTACCCAGTCTCAAGTATTTATTTATAGCAGTGTGAAGACAGACTAATACAGTATGTAAAGGAACAGCAATAAGGCTACTGTGGCTAGAGAAGAGCATGTGAGGTGGAAAATAGTCAGGGATAAAGTCAGAAAGTTAGCCTGGCCAGGTCATATGAAGGCTGACAGGCCATTGTGGTTACTTCAGCTTTTACTCTGAATAACATGGAAACCACAAAAGAGGTATGAAATAATTTAAGTTTTAAATGATTCCTCTGGTGGCTATATAGATTAGCCATGGGATGCAGAAGTAGATCTAAAGAGACCAATTTAGGAACCAATTACAGTAGTCTAGGAGAGGGAAAAAAGGAGCTTAGAATGTAGCTAGTGGTAACGGCAGAGATGATAAGAATGGCCAAATTCAAGATGATGTTTAGAACATTGAATAGCTATGAATGAACTGGATACGGTATGTGTGTGAGAAAAAAAGAGGACTCCCAAGGTTCATTGTTGAATATTAGGAAGAATAGAATTGCTGTAAATTGAGATGTGGAAGAATGTAGAAGTAACAGGTTTTGAGGGACAGGGAAATTCAAGAGTCTGGCTTTAATCATGTTAATTTTGAGATGCTTGTTTGACAGCCAAAAGACATAGTAGGTTAGTATCTGGAGTTCAGAGGAAGGTCTGGCCTGAAGATATGCAATAGTTGTCAGCATATAAATTTAAAGTTGTGGAAGTCGGTAAGATTGTCAAGGGTGAGACTATAGTTAGAAAAGGCGAGGAGGAGTGATGGCTCGTGCCTGTAGTCCCAGCCGTTTTAGAGGCCGAGGCAGGCGGATCACTTGAGGTCAGAAGTTTGAGACCAGGTTGGCCAACATGGTGAAGCCCCATCTATTAAATATATAAAAATTAGCCAGATGTGGTGGCAGGAACCTATAGTCTCAGCTACCCGGGAGGCTGAGGCAGGAGAATCGCTTGAACCTGGGAGGCAGAGGTTGCAGTGAGCCAAGATCACATCACTGCACTCCAGCCTTGGACAACAGAGAGAGACACCATCTTAAGAAGTGATAGATTGAATGTGTGCTCACTTCAGCAGCACCGTATACTAAAATTGGAATAATACAGAGAAGATGAGCATGGCTCCTGGGCAAGGATGACATGCAAATTTGTGAAGTGTTCCATATTTCTTCAGAAGAGACTGGGGACCTATATTCAACATTGTTAAAGAAAAAGAAGTCTTCAACCAAGAATTTCATATCCAGCCAAACTAAGCTTCCTAAGTGAGAAGAAATAAGACCCTTTTTAGATAAACAAATTTTGAGGGAATCTGCCTTGCAAGAGGTCTTGAAGGGAGTAGTAAATATTGAATGGAAAGATCACTACCACTTGATATAAAAACACGCTTAAATACACAGACCAGTAACACTATAAAGCAAAACCACACAAACAAGCCAGCATAATAACCAGCTAACAACACAATAACACAATCAGATCCACACATATCAGTGCTAACCTTGAATGTAAACAGGCTTAATGCCTCACGTACATGGTATAGAGTGGCAAACTGGATTTAAAAAAACAGTGGTATGTGGTCTTCAAGAGACCCATCTCACATGTAATGACACCCATAGGCTCAAAATAAAGGGATGGAGAAAAATCTACCAAGTAAATGGAAATCAGAAAAAAGCCAGGTTGCCATCCTGATTTCAGGCAAACCAGACTGTAAACCAACAAGGATTAAAAAAAGACAAAGAAAGGCATTACACAATGGTAAAGGGTTCAATTCAACAAGAAGACCTAACTATGGTAAATATACATGCAACCAACACAGGAACACCCAGATTCATAAAGCAACTTCTTAGAAACCTACAAAGAGACATAGACTCCCACATAATAATAGTGGGAGACTTCAATACTTCACTGTCAGTATTAGATCATGTAGGCAGAAAATTAACAGATATTCAGGACCTGAACTCAACATTGGACCAAATGTATCTGACAGACTGCTGCAGAACTGTCCACCCAAAACAACAGAATAGATATTCCTCTCATTGCCACATGGCACATACTCTAAATTGGACCACATAATTGGACATAAAACAATCCTCAGCAAATGCAGAAGAACCCAAATCATATGAAACACACCGTTGGACCACAGTACAATAAAAATAGAAGTCAGAATTTAAAAAATCGCTTAAACCAGGCAATTACATGGATATTAAAAACATGCTCCTGAATGACTTTTGGGTAAACTGTGAAATTAAGGCAGAAACCAAGAAGTTCTTTGAAAGTAATGAGAATGAAGATACAACATGCCAGAATCTCTGGGACACAGCTAAGGCAGTGTCAAGAGGGAAATTTATAGTACTAAATTCCCACATCAAAAAGTCAGAAAGATCACAAATTAATAACCTAACGTCACAACTGAAAGAATTAGAGAAGGAAAAACAAATCAACCCCACAGGTAGCAGAAGATAAGAAATCATCAAAATCAGAGATGAACTGAAGGAAATTGAAACACAAAATACCATTCAAAAGATCTACAATTCCAGGAATTGGTTTCTTGAAAAAAATTAATAAGACAGATACGTTTCTAACTAAGAGAAAATCCAAATAAACCCAATTAGAAATTACCAAGGGGATGTTACCACTGACTCTACAGAAATAAAAACAATAATCAGAAACTACTACAAACACCTGTATGGACACAGACTACAAAACCTACAAGGGATGGATAAATTCCTGGACACATACCCTCTCCTAAGACTGAACCAGGAAGAAATTGATTCCCCAAACTGACCAATACGAGCTCCAAAATTGGATCAGTAATAAATAGCCTACCAACCGAAAAACCCAAGGTCTGAGGGATTCATAGCTGAATTCCACCAGATGCACAAAGAAGAGCTGGTACCATTCCTACTGAAACTATTCCAAAAAATTGAGGAGGAGGGACTCCTCCCCAACTAATTTTTTGAGGTCAGCATTATCTTGATACCAAAACCTGGCAGACACACAGAAAGAAAGCCCAGTATCCTCTATGAATATCAATGCAAAAATCCTTGACAAAATACTGGCAAACCAAATCCAGCAGCACATCAGAAAGCTAATTCACAATGATCAAGTAGGCTTAATTCCCAGGATGCAAGTTTTGTTCAGCATACGAAAATTAAATGTGATTTATCACATAAGGAGAACTGCAGACAAAAAACACATAATTATTTCGATAGATGCAGAAAAGGCTTTTGATAAAATTCGGCATTCCTTCATGTTAAAAACTCTCAATAAACTAGGTGTTGAAGAAACATACCTCAGAATAATAAGAGCCATCTTTGACAAACTCACAGCCAACATCATACTGAATGGGCGAAAGCTGGAAGCATTCCCCTTGAAAACTGACACAAGGCAAAGATTCCCTCTCTTACCACTCCTGTTCAACATTTTATTGGAAGTGTTGGCCAGAGCAATCAGGAAAGAGGAATAAAGGGCATCTAAATAGGAAGACAGGGAGTAAAACTATCACTGTTTGTACATGACATGTTTCTATATCTAGATAACCCTATGTCTTGGCCCAAAAGCTCCTAGATCTAATAAACAGCTTCAGTAAAGTTTCAGGATGCAAAAATCAATATACAAGAAATCACTAGCATTCCTATACGCCTACAACAGCTAAGCTGAGAACCAATTCAGGAAGACAGTCCCATTCCCAGCTGCCACAAAAAGAATAAAATACATAGGAATACAGCTATCCGTGGGGAGTGAAAGATCTCTACAATAAGAATTACAAAACACTGCTCAAGGAAATCGGATAAGACACAAACACATGGGAAAAAGATCCTATGTTGATGGATAGGAAGAATCAGTATCATTACAATGGCCATACTGCCCAAAACAATTTACAGATTCAATGCTATTCCTATCAAACTACCAACAACATTCTTCACAGAACTAGAGAAACCTATTTTTAAAGTCATATGGAACCAAAATAAGAGCGTGTGTAGCCAAGGCAATCCTAAAAAAAAAGAACAAAGCTTTGAGGTATCATGTTACCTGACTTCAAACTATACTACAGGGATACAGTAACCAAAACAGCAGAGTAGTGATACAAAAACAGGCACATTGACAATGGAACACAATAGAGAATCCAGATATAACACACCTACAAAAGCAATGGGGAAAGGATTCCCTGTTTAATGAATGGTGCTGGCAGAATTGGCTAGCCATATTCAGAAAATTGAAACTGGATCCCTTCCTTGTATCATATACAGAAATCAACTCAAGATGGATTAAAGACTTAAACGTAAAACCTAAAACTCTAAAAACCCTGGAAGACAATTCTAGGCAATACCATTTTGGACATGGGAATGGGCAGTGATTTCACGACAAAGACATCAAAAGCAATCATAACAGAGTAAGTAGACAACCTACAGAATAGGAGAAAATATTTGCAACCTGTGCCTCTGAGAAAGGTCTGAATATCCAACATCTATAAGGAACTTAAACAAGTTTACAAGAGAAAAACAGCTCCATCAAAAAGTGGATAAAGGACATGTGCACTTTTCAAAAGAAGATATACATGTGGCAACAAATATGATAAACTCAGTATTACTGATCATTAGAGAAATGCAAATAAAAACGGCAGTGTGACACCATCTCACACCAGTCAGAGTGGCTATTATTAAAGAGTCAAAAAACAAAAAAAACAGATGCTGGTGAGGTTGTAGTGAAAAGGGAACACTTACACACTGTTGATGGGAGTATAAATTAGTTCAGCTATTGTGGAAAGCAGTACTGTGATTCCTCAAAGAGCTAAAAACAGAACTGCCTTTCGACCGAGCAATTCCATTACTGGCTATGTACCCAGAGGAATATAAATCATTCTGTGATAAGGGCACATGCATGCGAATATTCATTGCAGCATTATTCACAATAGCAAAGACAGAATCAACCCAAATGCCCAAGAGTGACAAAGAGTAACAGATTGGATTAAGAAAATGTGGTGTGGCGGGGTGCAGTGGCTCAGGCCTGTAATCCCAGCACTTTGGGAGGCCGAGGCGGGTGGATCACGAGGTCAGGAGATCAAGACCATCCTGGCTAACACGGTGAAACCGCATCTCTACTAAAAAAGTACAAAAAATTAGCCGGGCGTGGTGGCAGGCACCTGTAGTCCCAGCTACTCGGGAGGCTGAGGCAGGAGAATGGCGTGATCCCGGGAGGCAGAGCTTGCAGTGAGCCGAGATCGCTCCACTGCACTCCAGCCTCGGCGACAGAGCGAGACTCTGTCTCAAAAAAAAAAAAAAAAAAAAATGGGGGGCACATACACCATGGAAAACTGTGCAGCCATAAAAAAGAATGAAATGATGTATTTTGCAGGAACATGGGTGGAGCTGGCATTCATAAAGCTACTTCTTTATGGAGGCCATTCTTTAAGGAGGCCATTATCCTTAGCAAACTAACACAGGAGTAGAAAACCAGATACTGCATGTTCTCACTTATAAGTGGGAGCTAAATGATGAGAACTCATGAACCCAAAGAATGGAACAACAGACACTGGGGACTTCTTCAGGGTGGAAGGTGGGAGGAGGGAGAGGACCAGAAAAAATAACTGTTGAGTAGTAGGCTTAGTACCTGGATGATGAAATAATCTGTACAACAAAGCCCTGTGACATCAGTTTACCTGTATAACACACTTGCACACGTACTCCCAAACCTACAATGAAAGTTAAAAAAAATTAAAGATTGAATGCTGGAAAGCTCTGTTAAAAGTAGGGTGGAAATACAAGGGTGAATGTGGCGTGTAATGGAAGGCAAAGGAGAAAAGTATTTCAAGGAGGGAGAAGGAATGATTACCAAGATCAGATGCTGCTGATAAAGCAAGTACTGTAAAGATTTGAAAATAGACCACTGAATTTAGCAGTGTGACCTTAACTAATGCAGTCAGGACATGAATGGCTCCAGAAATCAGCATACTTGAATAGTATGGAATCTTGTTTCTTTAGCTCTATCCTTCCTACCTCAAAATTAATGTTTAAAAAGCACTAATTATTAGAACATTTCCAGGAGATTGAAATCAGTTTTTCACATTTATTGATATAATTTTTTTCCCTTAACGGTTATCAAGCATTGCTTTTGTTTTTCTCTGTACCAACTGAGCTGTAATGCTTTTTCATTTGTATGTTACTTCCTATAAAGACTGAAGACCTAGTATTTTTATAGTTGAAAGGGACTATATTTAAGCCCACTTGAATTTTATTGTTATTTATCTGTTATGCCTGAAATTTTGTTACTCTTATTTGCATATGAATTGTTTAGTAAATTATCAATTTTTTAAAAAAACAGAAATATGTTGGTGAAGTCTTTAACATCGTCAGTCAACAATCAACAGCCAGGCCAGGATGCATTATTGCATTAGATCCCATTACCAAACTTGTAAGTATTAATTTTGGGGGGGAGGTATATTTTTAAAAGTTTATGAAAGCATTTTGCATAAAATCTATATATTAATGTAATTTGATAATTTGCTATATATTTACAGGTAAAGTAGATTCAGTAATTAACTCATCACATAATAGATAACATACTATTGTATATTTTACTTTCTAGACTTCAGACTAGAAAACAAATTATAATGCTCATTACTATATTCACAACCAAATAAATTTCAAACTTTGACTCAAACATATTATAAAAATATTATCATATTACCATTAGATTTAATAAAGTGGTGTTAGGTTCCTCATCCTTGGTTATGAAAATCACTGGAAAGAAAACTAGGTTCCAATTTGTGGCTAAATAAAAACTGGTGGATATTATTTCTTACTTATAAAGACTTGTTGTAATGAAAGCAAATGATCTTGACCTAAATTTTTATATTCATCTGTTTAATCTAATGGAGGTACCATACACTTACATTCTGCTGAACGTTTGAATCTTATTCTGCCTTTAAATTTCTCATTATGAAGTATTATTTTTCTGGTTATTTAGCATTAGGTAAATAACACATAGGTCAACTTACGTTGATATGTATTTATATTCAGCATGGGAGAAAAACCCAACTGCTTCATGTTTTTCAAGAAGACTTCATTTTGAATAACCTTGAGAAGAAAAGCCTTGGCAAAGACAACATTTCATCTAATGCAGGTAAGGAAGAAGTGTTTATGGAATGAGAAATACTATGTACAGTATGTTAGGCAGTTAATAAAGATGAATTGGTGAAATGCTTCACATTGTCTGTTTGAAGTAAAAATTGTTTGGAGTAAGTTTGTTTATTAAATATTTATCATAAATGTGAGTATCTTTTTATTCTTAACCTGGTAAGAAATATGAACAAAATTAAAGGGGCATCTTGGTTTTATGTTTTTTAAACTGCATAATAGAAATGCTTTATTATTAACATGTGAGAGCTTTTTGCATGGATGGGGTCCTACCCATCCATTTGGATATTATGGACCTCCTGCCTTTTGAAAATTTATAATTTAAAGAAGTAGCTTAAAACTTCAAGCTAGAAAGTCCTTAATTTAAAAACTAATTGTCTTAATTAATGTTTTTATAGTAAAACAGGTTTTAAAATGTTGTTAAACTCCTCTCATCAACATTATTACTTTACATGAAGGCACACCGAGTAAAATAAAGCTAAAATCTCTTGGTCATCACTTGAGATTATAGAGCCAAACCAAACTCAAAAATGGCATTCTTGAGGAGCACAGTCTTATAAATCAATTATACAGTATATGCCCGTTACACAAAGAAGTTATCAAGATTCAAATGTTAAATATCTTCTGCATTTGTTCAGAATTTTTTCTCCTCTTGTACATCATGTCTTTCTGCCACCTTTTCCATTTTTCTTCTTTTATGAGAAGTACTCCTTAGAGTTCTGCACTTTTATGTTGACATCTAATTTCTTACCATTGCTTTAAGTCTTCTATCAGTTTTCCCTGAATTAATGAGCTGTGCAAATACACTTTATGTGTTTTTTTAACTCTGAACATGGTGGAAATATGCTAAAAATGGGGATTAAAGGTGTCAGACATAAGACATAGGATTATTTATTGTGTAAACAAAAATATCCTTTCTTTTCATATTAAAATATTTATGAACATGTTAATATTGTTAACAATTTAAGTCTCTTTAAAACTTTTAAAAGAAGTTACTCTCCTTTGCATAAGGTTGAGTTTTTCTATGATATTCATGTATTCTAATATTTTCTTTTTTCGGATTCTTCAATTTTTAATGTATTTTTTTCTCTCTTTAAGGCTACGATTTTTCTTAAAATATTCAGGAAATTTTTACTTTTACCCAAAAACTATTATGTTCATTATTAGAGTTTCCTGGAAAATACCTAAGGAGTTATGATTTCATTTCTTTTGCTCTATTATGAAGAAGAAAAATGTTGTACAAATATTTTCAGTATTGGAGCATTTTTTGTTGTTAGTGAAATTATCAAAACTAGGATTGATTTCTATTCTTTTTTCTTTTGTTATAATCTTTATCCTTTCTTTTCTCTTAATTTCTGTATTTTGGATGCCTAACTTAGAATACATTACCAAAGTTACCTTTTCATTTAGGCTGTCAATACAAGATGATTTAAAACATTTATGGTTACCATTTTTTATTTTTTTCCTATGCAGATTTATAAAAGGGCAAAGTCTTTGTGCCCTTCTATACCTGCTTTCTCATGTTTTACATGTTCTGTGATTTATTTTGTTTTTATACTGTAATTTTCGTTTACCTAATTGTGCACATAGTGAATAATAACTTATAATGAAGAAAATTTGGATTAAAATCTCTTGTTAAAAAGGTTTTTTCAGGCGATAATAAATCATTGATTTTTTCTGATGTATTTTAAAAGGATATGTTTATTTTGAGCAACTTGTTTGCTGTTTAAACTGCAATTTGGGCGAAGACAAATTTTCTTGAATGATACGTTTTATAATGAATACTTATAATTTGGCCATTGGATAAATATCCTGAAGTCATCATCCATTATGGACCTTACTCATTTGAAAAATGTTTGGCACCACCATTTCATCATAATATGTTGAGTTTAAGTATATATTGCATAGTTCCTATCTGTTTAGAAATTTTCTGCTTCATGTGGTTTAATCTTTGTGAACAATTTGATGATGATGACTCTAAACCTGTCAATTCAAACATGAAATAGCATACATATTGTTGTAAAAATTTTAAGTTAATACAAATTCGTATGGTAAAGGATTTGAATATATTTTATAATACCACTTGTATTTGAAGCCTTAGGTAAAAGTTTTTAATTTTCTTTTTTTTAAAGTCCAATTATTTTAACTTGGCATATTTAGCAAGTTGTCTCTTTTATACATATTAACAGTGAAAAATATCGTTAATACCAACAGGCAGCTCACCTAATGGATTTTCTGAGAAGTTCTACCTAATTGTCATAGAATGCACTCAAGACAACCGTTCACTATTACACATGTGGAATTTACATCTAAAATCAATTCCTGTCTCATTAGGTGAGTCATTTGTGTGTGTGTGTAATTTTAATAGGCATAAGTTAACAAATTACACAAAATTAGATAATTTGGTACATATTTCTTAAAGCCATTCTCATTAAGTGGTGATAACTGTAGATTATTCAATTAATTTAAAAATCTTTTCTTATTTTCTTTATGTGAAGAATCATATTTATATGTTTACTCTTTTCTCTTTTACAAGGCAGTTTCGGATTGTGAAATATAGCAATCGTAATATTTATAGGGCTCCCCTGCCTCAGTTTTTGGTTCTTTTCTTATGTTTTATAGATGAAAAAGTAGATACAAAATTATCTGAAGCAGTTTGGCAGCCAGAAGAACATTATTCTTCTTCTCCAGAGAAGATCCTATCTCCTTTTTCACAAAAGTATCAGGCTTGCAGAGCAAATCTCCAGAGTACCAGCAAGTTGACTTTGTTTTCAGAAATGGTTTATAGCCAAGAATTGCATTTGCCAGAAGGAGTTGAGATAATAAGTATTAAGCCATCAGCAGGTTTGTAAATTTTATGAAAAGAGACTAATTTTGTAACACATGAGTATTTACCAGGTATTTAAAAATAGGTGCTGCGACTACCTCTTAAATCCACACAGAACCAGAAATGGAAATAATAATATTCAAGTACCCTAAATTGAAGACTTATAGTTCTCATTATGTTTTCAGATTACTCTGACATTTATCAGCCAGTTCTAGTCTTAAATATTGATTTCTAAAACACATTTCGTTTGTCTTTTGGGAAGACAAAGGGACAGTTTCTAGAGCGGAGATGGTAACTGAGTTGTCCCTTATTTGCAAACTTTGATGGTATTGGCAATAGCTTCCTAGAGCCATGATTCTGATTGTATGGTTTCTGCTATATATTTATTATCCTTATTCTAGAGCAGTGGTTTTCAAAGTGTCCCCAGGCCAGCAGCATCAGCATCCTGGAAACTTGTTAGAAATGGGCCACCCCATTTCTTGGGCCACCCAGGGTTACTGTATCTCAAACTCTGGGATGGGACCCAGTGGCCTGGTCTTACAAGCCTTTCAAGTGATTCTTATGCATGCAAAAGGTCAAGAACCACTGTTATGGAGTATCAAGAATACTAATCAAAAATAAAAATCAAGGCCCTTGTTTTAGAAAACTAATAGTGCATGATTACTTTAAGTCTCAGCAAATGTTAAGTTCTAATTAGAAATCTTCTCAGCATTTGTTATGGCAAATATACCTCAATCATCAAGGGCCCTGTAAAGTGACCATTCAGTACTTGAGTAAACATAGGCCATTCACATTTATATTGAAAAATGTAAAAGAGAAGGAGCCAGTGAGTGTTGACAAATTAAAAAAAAAATGCATTGATAGCTTTAAAATTAGATTTATAATGTATAAAACTAGCAAAGAGCTGTGAAACAAATTCTGGATTGACTAGAATTCAAGTTTTTAAATTCTGCCTATGCCGAAGTTGTTTGATTTAGGCCCAAGATGTTTAACCTTCAAGAATTGAAGTAAATTATCTCAGAGTTCCCTTTAAACTCTAGGTTTTGGTGATCCTTTCTTTTTTATACCTTTCTGATGTCATTAAAAGCCTCTTTCTTACTATTCTTGCTGCCTCTTCTTAATAAATATAGGCTGTCATGCTCTTAACAGTAGTTAATACAAAAAGACTAAAATCTTAAGTACATAAAAACAGAAGTATTTAACCAAATTTGACATTTTGTTAATGGATTATTTTTATTTTAGGACATCTGAGTTCATCTTCTATATATCCTGCGTGCAGTGCTCCTTATTTATTGGCAACTTCATGTTCAGATGAGAAAGTAAGATTCTGGAGATGCAGAGTAACAGATGGACAATCTGCCACATCAAAGAATGGAAAAATTGATCTTGCATACGTTTGGGAAGAATGGCCATTACTTATTGAAGATGGACTTCAGAGCAATAGTAGTATAACTGTACCTGGTAGGCCTATAGAAGTTAGCTGTGCACATACAAATCGTTTAGCAGTAGCTTATAAGCAGCCTGCATCTAATAGTAGATCTTCCCAGGACTTTGTGATGCATGTAAGTATTTTCGAATGTGAGTCAACAGGAGGTTCATGTTGGGTCCTTGAACAGACAATTCATTTAGATGAGTTAAGCACAGTATTGGATTCTGGCATTAGTGTTGACAGTAATTTAGTGGCCTATAATAAACAAGAGATATATTTATCTAGTAAAGAGAATATCACATCAAACACAAAGCATTTAGTTCACTTAGATTGGATGTCTAGAGAAGATGGTTCTCATATCCTGACTGTAGGAATTGGATCAAAACTTTTTATGTATGGACCCCTGGCTGGCAAGGTACAAGACCAGACTGCTAAGGAAAGCCTGGCGTTTCCTCTCTGGGAGAGTACTAAAGTTGTGCCCCTTTCTAAATTTGTACTATTACGAAGTGTGGACCTGGTTTCTTCTGTAGATGGCTCCCCACCTTTTCCTGTTTCTTTATCGTGGGTCCGGGATGGCATCCTTGTGGTAGGAATGGACTGTGAAATGCATGTGTATTCCCAATGGCAGCCATCTTCTAAACAAGAACCTGTTATAACAGATTCGTACAGTGGGAGCACTCCATCTATAACAAGTTTAATGAAACAGAGTAACTCCAGTTCTGGGTTACATCCTCCAAAGAAAACTCTGACTCGATCCATGACCAGTCTTGCACAGAAAATCTGTGGAAAGAAAACTGCATTCGATCCTTCAGTGGATATGGAAGATTCAGGTCTTTTTGAAGCAGCTCATGTACTTTCCCCGACTCTACCTCAGTATCATCCCTTGCAGCTTTTGGAACTCATGGATCTTGGTAAAGTTCGGAGAGCCAAGGCCATATTGTCCCATCTTGTTAAGTGCATTGCTGGGGAAGTTGTGGCTTTGAATGAAGCTGAATCTAATCATGAACGCCGCCTTAGGTCTCTCACAATCAGTGCTAGTGGAAGCACTACCAGAGACCCCCAGGCATTCAACAAGACTGAAAATACAGATTACACAGAAATAGATTCTGTTCCTCCACTTCCTTTATATGCTTTACTTGCAGCAGATGATGATAGCTGTTACTCATCTTTGGAGAAATCTGGTAATGAGAGTACCTTAAGTAAATCAAACCAGTTATCAAAAGAAAGTTATGATGAGCTTTTTCAGACTCAACCTGTAATGACTGATACTCATATGTTAGAGACAGATGAAGAAAATACAAAGCCTAGAGTTATTGACCTTTCACAATACAGTCCAACTTACTTTGGACCTGAGCATGCTCAGGTTCTTTCTGGCCACTTACTTCATTCTAGTTTACCAGGACTCAGCCGGATGGAACAGATGTCTTTGATGGCCTTAGCAGATACAATTGCAACAACAAGCACTGATATTGGAGAAAGCCGAGACAGAAGCCAAGGTAAAACTAAACTCCATGCTGATAACATTTTTACTTATTTTCACAGAAAATAATTTTAAATAATTATTATTAAAATGATGCCATTAGCTAGGCACAGGGGCTTATGCCTGTAAATTCAGCTCTTTTGGAGGCTGAGGCAGGAGGATCACTAGAACCCAGGAGTTTAAGACCAGCCTGGGCAACATAATGAGACCCCCATCTCTATGAAAACAAAAAAAAAAATTAGCAAGATATGGTGCCTCATGCCTGTAGTCCTAGCTACTCAGGAGGCTGAGGTGGGATGATGCTTGCGCCCAGGAGGTTGAGGCGGCAGTGAATTGATTGTGCCACTGCACTACAGCCTGGGCAATAGACCAAGACCCTGTCTCTTAAAAAAAAAAATACGATTAAGGTTTTTATTGGAAACATCCTTGCTACCTTCACAACAGTCCCCCCCCATACTATCATAAACAGTAAACTCTTAATATGCACTATTTATCCCATAAATCATAGTACTATGAGCAAGTGCACAAAGACTCCTTATGCTGGTCATTTTTACTAATTGTCTGCTTAGTATTATAAGAGATCCAACTGAATCTTTCTTAGTTTAGCAAAATTTAACAGATTCTTATTAAACAATTATTTTAGGTACCTAAAAGTAAAAGGTGATTTCTGTTTTTTTTCCCTCATTTTGTAATAATCCACTATTAACAATTATAATTCAGTTTTTAAAACATTGAGTTTTTTTTTTAAAATTAGCATTAGTGTATGCTCCTACCTAGAAAAGCATAATGTAATTAGATCTTTTCCTCACCCAGAGAGCATTTTAAAAAAAACACTGCTGAGTTATGAACAGTTTCCCATCAAATCTCAAGTTCTGAAATGAACCAATTGAGCCTTGTGGACCATATATATGTCAGTATCCCTTTGAACGAAGCTTGAAAGGAAAATTTAGGGTAAATTTAATATAACAAAATTAAATTTAAGAAAAATTAAGTTGGTTTTGAATCTTGACACTTTTAGCGATATTACTAGTAGATACTATTTTTGATGTGAATATGTTATAGGTGTTTTATGTTTTTAGTTTTTGCTTCAAGGAAAAAATACCAGGCCCTCCCACCATAGAACTATTTCTTCCATTGTTAACAGCAGATTATTGGGGTGGATGTATGATTTGAATAAACCGTATTGATTAAAGATATTACTGTACATGTGCCACAGAAAAGGTTAAACTGTTCAAAAATCAGTCACAATTTAAATAAGATTTCAATCAGAAGAGGTCAGATTCTAAAGAGTATCAGACACTCTTTATTCTCTTTTTTATTATTTTTCCAATTGTTTATACTGTTTTTTCTGTAATGTAAAATTGTGTAGAAAAAGATAAATGTTAGAAAATATTTTAGACTGATAACTTTTTTTTTTTGGGTCAGGTGAAGAATGTTATATGCCTATATTTGGTGTTCTTTTGCTTACAATTTTTTTTTTTTAAATACATTGCTTCCCCTTTCTCCCATTGCAGGTGGAGAAACTCTTGATGAATGTGGACTAAAATTTCTTTTGGCTGTTCGACTCCATACCTTTCTTACAACTTCCCTTCCAGCCTATCGAGCTCAACTCCTTCACCAAGGTGATTTTGATAGTAATCTATTAAAGGGAAATAAAGCGAGTAGAAAATGAGAGACTTGGGAGTTTTTAAACTTGTTTTTACCCAGACATGATAATGATGACAAATTTAACACATTTTAAGTTCCTTTATTTATTAGAACGTTTATTTCTTCATAATCTTTGCTTAAAACATTGGAATTTTTAATGGTAGACAAAAGGAGTTAATGAAGAAACAGGTACTGGGAAATAGGATATTCTGTGTTAAAGTTTTTAAATGCATGTTATGTTCAAGGCAAATTAGTATTGTTTCATTTTCTTTAATTTATTCTTTAGATTGTCTTTTTTCTCCTTTTTTTGACATTTATCTAAATTCAGTTTTTCCACCAAACTTTGAGTAACATTTTTGTTATAATGCATTCTCAAATTTTAAATGTTTCACAGAGTACAGAATATTGAAAGTGTAAATTTACCCACACTTAAAACTGTTAAAATATGTATTTCAGATATTAGTTTAGTATATTTCATGTATTCTGTATTTAGTGCTGTGTTTCAGATACTATTAGTTCTCTTACTTTGAACTGTGTTAGACTTTGAACTGTCTTAGCGTAACTTAATAGATTCTTATTAAATGATTATTGTAGGTATCTGAAAATAACATTATCTTAGTTCAAAGTGAGAGAAATCTCACTTAAGTTCACTTAAACAAAACAGCATGTTTTTTGGCTCATCTCCCAGGAAGTTCAAGAAATAGAGCTGGCTTTCAGCATTATTGGATCTGTAGGTTTAAAAAGTGTTATTGGGACCTTGCAGTTTAGCCTTTTAGCCTCTGCTCCTTCGTCTCAGTCTCTTGCTCGTACCTTTTGTCTGTCTCTTTGTTTCTGTATTTTCTTTCTCTCATTTTGTATATAGCTTTGAAAAAAGTAAAGTTGAAAATTCTAAATAAAATTCTTCTTAGTTTTTTTTTTTTTTTTCTTTTTGAGATAGAGTCTTGCTCCGTCATCCAGGCTAGAGTACAGTGGTGTGATTTCTGCACACTGCAACCTCCATTTCCCGGATTCAAGTGATTCTCCTGCCTTAGCCTCCCGAATACCTGGGACTACAGGCACATGCCACTACGCTTGGCTAATTTTTATGTTTTTAATAGAGATGGGGTTTCACCATATTGGCCAGGCTGGTCTTGAACTCCTGACCTCAAGTGGTCCGCCTGCCTTGGCCTCCCAAACTGCTGGGGATTGCAGGGGTGGGCCACCTTGCCAGGCCAAATTCTCTTTAAAATTTTTAAATTGTAATTTAACACATTAAAATTGTGTATATTTATAGGGTCCAAAGTAATGTTATATGTATACAAAGTGCAATGATTAAGTCAAACTAGACATATCCATCACCTCAAATATGTAGCATATTTGTGGTAAGAATATTTGAAATGTACTCTCTTAGCAATATTGAAATATACAATACACTATTATTAAAGATAGTTACCAAGCTGTGCAGTAGATATCAGAAATGTATTCCTCCTAACTGAAACTTTGTACTCTTTGACCAATGTCTCCCTTCTCATCTTGTCCCCAGCCTTGGGCAAATACCATTTTATTCTCTGTTTCTTTAATTTCAATTGTATTTGATTCCACACATAAGTGAGATCATGCAATATTTGTCTATGACTGGCTTATTTCACTTACTGTAATGTTCTCCAGGTTCATCCATGTTGTTGCAAATGACAAGATTTCCTTTTTTAAGGCTGACTGATACTCCAGTGTATATACGAGCATACACGTTTTTGTTGTGCTTTGCTAGGTTGCATTTTGCAAATACAGCAGTTTTTACAAATTGAAGCTTTGTGGCAACCCTTTGTTGAGCAAGTCTGTCAGCACTATTTTTCCAACAGCATGTGTTCACTTCATGTCTCTGTGTCTCATTTTGGTAATTCTCACAATATTTCAAACTTTTTCTGTCGTCTGTGATCAGTGATCTTTGTTGTTATTATAATGGTTTTGGAGTGCCATGAACTGCGCCTACGTAGGACATTGAATTTAATCAATAAATTGTGTACTGTGGCTACAACACCAATCAGCCATTCCCCTGTATTTCTTCTGCTCAGACCTCCCTATTCACTGAGACATAACCAATATAGAAATTAGGACAGTTTAACAACCCTACAGTGTCTTCTGAGTGTTCAAGCAAAAGGAAGAGCTGCATATCTCTTGCTTTAAATCAAAAGCTAGAAATGACTAAGCTTAGTAAGGAAGGCATGTCGAAAGCCAAGATAGGCTGAAGGCTAAGCCTCTTGTGCCAAACAGTTTACCAAATTGTAAATGCAAAGGACAAAGTCCAAAGGAAACTAAACGTTCTCCATTGAACACATGAATGATAAGAAAGCAAAGTAGCCTTATTGCTTATGTGGAAAAAGTTTGAGTGGTCTAGATGGATCAAACTAGCCACAGGATTTTCTTATGCCAAAGCCTAATCTAAAACAAGGCTCTAACTCGTCTTAATTTCATGAAAGGTGAGAGAGGTGAGGAAGCTGCAAAATTAAAGTTTGAAGCTAGCAGAGGTTGGTCCCTGAGGTTTAAGGAAAGAAGCCTTCTCTGTAAACTACAAGTACAAGGTGAAGCTGGATCTTCTGGATAACATGCTGAAGCTTCTACGTCATTCAGCACTTGCTTCAGCATGTTTTCCAGAAGGTCTAGCTAAGATAATGGATGAAGGTGGCTACACAAAAGGACAGATTTTTAAAGTAGATGGAATAGCCTTCTTTTGGAAGAAGATGCCATCTAGGACTTTTATAGTTAGAGAGAAGTCAGTGCCTGGCTTAAAGGACAGACTGACTCTTGTTAGGGGCTAATGCAGCTGGTAACTAAGTTGAAGCCAATGCCCATTTACCATTCTGAAAATCCTAGAGTCTTTAAGAATTACGCGAAACCTCTTCTGTCTGTGCTATACGAATGGAACAACAAAGCCCGATGGCAGCACCTCTGTTTATAGCATCATTTACTGAATATTTTCAGCCCACTATTGAGACCTTCTGTTGAGAAATAAGATTTCCTTTCAAAATATTGCTGTTACTGACAGTGACCTGTTCACACTAGAGCTCTGATGCAGATGTACAAGGAGATTAATATAGTTTTTATGCCTGTAACACAACATTCATTTTGCAGTCCATGAATCAAGGAATGCTTCCAACTTTTAAGTCTTATCATTTAAGAAATACATTTCATAAGGCTATAACTGCTATAGATAATGATTCCTCTGATGGATCTGGACAAAGTAAATTGAAAACCACTGGAAAGGTTTCACCATTCTAGATGCCATTAGGGACATTTGTAATTCATGGGAGGATGTCAAAATATCAACATTAACAAGAGTTTGGAAGAAGTTGATTGCAGCCTTCGCAGATGACTTTGAAGGGTTCATGACTTCAGTAGAGGAAGTAATTGCAGATATGGTAGAAATAGCAAGGGAACTGGAATTAAAAGTAGAACCTGAAGATGTGACTGAATTGCTGCAATCTCAGGGTAAAATTTTAGCAGAGCCAGGCATGATGGCTCATGCCTGTAATCTCAACACTTTGGGATATTGAGGTGGGAGGATCGTTTGAGGCCAGGAGTTTGAGGACCAGCCTGAGCAACAGAGACCCCATCTCTGAAAAAAATTTAGGTAGGTTTAGTGATACGTGCCTGTAGTCCTAGCTACTCAGGGAGCTGAATGGGAATATCACTTGAGTCCAGGAGGTCAAGACTGCAATGAGCTGTGATCACACCACTGCACTCCAGCCTGGGCAACAGAAGGAGACCCTGTCTCAAAAAAAAAAAAAAAAAAATAAAAAAAAAAAAAAAAAAAAAAAATAGCAAAAACTTCAGCAAATGCGGAGTTGCTTCTTAAAGGATGAGCAATGAATGTGGTTTCTTAAGGTGGAATCTATGTCTGGTGAAGATGCAGTGAACATGGTTGAAATTAAAACAAAGGATTTAGAATAGTCCGTAAACTTAGTTGATAGAGCACTGGCAGGGTTTGAGAGGACTGGCTCCAATTTTGAAAGAAGTTCTAAATTCTATCAAATAGAATTACATGGTATAGAGAAATCTCACATAAAAGGAAGAGGCCATCTGTGTGGCACTCTTCGTTGTTGTCTTATTTTAAGAAATTGCTACAGCCATCCCAGCCTTCAGTAACCTCTACCGTGATCAGTCAGCAGCCAGTAACATCGAGGCAAGATTCTCCATCAGCAAAGAATATGACCTGCTTAAGGCTCAGATTATTGTTACGTTTTAGCAATAATGTGCTTTTTAATTAAGGTATGTACACTCATTTTAGACATAATGTTATTACACAGTTAATAGACCACAGTATGATGTGACCATAACTTGTATAAGCACTGGGAAACAAAAAGTTGTGTTACTCATTTTACTACAATATTTGCTTTATTGTGGTGGTCTGAAATCGAACCTATGGTATCTCCAAGGTATGCCTATATATGAGACATTTTCTTTATTAATTTATTGATGGATACTGAGGTTGATTTGATAACTAAGCTATTGTGAATAAAGCTACACTTAACATTGGAGTGCAGATAACTCTTCAACATACTGATTTCACATCCTTTGACTATATACACATAAGTGGGGTTGGTGGATCATGTGGTAATTTTGTTTCTATATTTTTTCTTTCTTTTTTTAGTTAAAATTTTTTGCTTTTCTTCTCTTTTAATAAAACATTGTCCCAGAATATTTTTAGATATTTGAGGAACCTTCATACCCTTTTCCATAATGGCTGTACTAATTTATGTTCCCACTAGCAGTGTACCAGGCTCCCCTTTTCGCCACTTCTTTACCAAAACTTTTTTTTTCTCTCTTTCTGATAATAGACATTCTAGCAGGTGTGAATTGTTATCTCATTATGGCTTTAATTTGCATTTTCCTGATGATTATAGATGTCAAGCACCTTTTTCATTTATCTGTTGGACATTCATATGTCTTCTTTTGAGAAATACCTGTTCAGGTCTTTTGTCCCCTCTGGGTTTTTTTT